CCATCCATCCACTCCTCCTAGGCTTAACTTGGCTCCTGATTTTCTCTCCTTTCTCTTCCAGCTTCCAGTTGTGCAGGGCTTTTCCCCAGGGCAATGCCATTGTTGCCAATGGGCTGGTCCTTGTCCAGCAGCAGGCCCCACTTGGAGCAACTGGACCTGGCTCCATCAGGCATTGGGAAATCTTCCAGCAGCTTCTCACAGAACCCAGCCTTGTAGCTCCTCACTATCAAAACCTTGCCATGCAAACCCAACATGACTGGTGACTTTCTCATCACACAGTGATGCAGTTTTCCACCATGATTCAGCCTGAGTAGAGCAAAGTTTAGCTTTTTCTGTGATTTGAGCATTTTCTCTTCACTGATTTCAGTTTTAGAGCTTTCCATCATGGTCACTGGGGAAATCCTTGTGTCTGCAGGACAGGGCTGCTGCCTCTATCACCTCCAGCATCACTTTGAGGCAGGGATCCTACCACCACCACTACTCATCCCAGACTAGTGGGACAGCTCTGGGCATGCTGGTGAAGACCCACCATCCCTGGAGGCTATGGATGCAGTCACACAGCCAGAGCATGCTCCTTTATCTGCCCTCCATAACAGGGAGGTAGGAAACAGCACAGCTCTCCACTGGCAAATCTCTCACAAAGGTCTTTCTGTGTCAGTGACTTCACCTAACTTCATCTGGGGCATCTTGGAACCAGACAAACAAAATTACTCTCTGTCTGGCTACTCCCGGATTCATCAAGTGCTCACAAGTTGTTATCTGGTGGCAAGTTGCTGTTTGAGTTAGAAAAATCCCTATTAGTTATTACAAAACTCCAAAGTTTCCCAGCTCAGCGTTTCTCAGTGCCATTTCCTGTGGCAGTACTGGTTGGTGGGGCTGGCAGAGCCCACTGTCTGAAAACTCAGCCTGTTGTTCCCCAAGCAGGACAGGATGGACAGGGCAGCCTCCAACTCCCTGAAACACTGGAATAGGGCCACAGACCCTCAGTTTCTCAGCATCAACACAGCAGGATTACTCACACCATCTCCCTGCACACAACCCTGCAGGATGCCACACTGGTTTGAGGATCCTGTTTGGTCAGGAGGGCCCCCAGCTCTCCACAACGCCCCCATGCTGGTGCTCTGCTTCTGCCCAAGTTTGTACCACACAGCTCTGCCATATATTTTGGTTTTCCCCAGGTTAAGAAACTCAGGGATGGAAATCAGTGTGCAGATGAAGGATGCTTTACATGATCTGGAGATACTAAAATGAAACACAACAGAGGAACTTCCAGGATACTCAAAGGAAAACAAAAAGAAAAATGTTGCTGGAGTGTGCCAGAGCAATGGGCTACCCAGTTTAATCACTTCCAATTCATGGTGTAGAGAAAGCCTTGAGATATGAAGAAATGGAGAATCTTCAAACCAGGCAGCTTATATACTGTATATAACCTGGCTCCCGCCACTGTCATCTTACAGTGGAAATTTCATAATGCAAGATCAGAAGGAAATTTTGACTTGCACAAAAAAGAGCTGTTGCTCTCCTAATTGGGAGCAACTTTGGAAAGTGCCTATAAGGGAAAAATAAGTTTTTCCTTCTGGTTCAGCACTTTTACAGTAATAAATTGAGGTGCTTCCTCCAGAAAAGCACATACAGTTACAGATCACCAGACGACCCAGAGACTAAGAGCTGAAGAGGTCCAGCCAAAGCAGGCCATGAGTATCGTGGTTCAGGTCCTGCTCACCTTCCTGATGCTGTCAGCCTGCCTGGGTGACGTGGTCACTCCATGGACACACACACTACGGACCAACATGCTGAAGGAGAGCATCAAGCTGCTGGACCAGCTCCAGCACATGGAGGTAGGGCTGGTTGTTGCTTTACCCACTGATGGGAGGGACAGACTGTTTCACCAGGCTCAGAGGGACTGATGCTGAGCCAGAGGAAGGTGAGGAGCACAGGGTTCACAGTGCTCCTGGGGCCTGGCGGGTGGCCAGATGCATATCTGTTGTGTGCATGTCAGGATGGATGGTGTTGTCTGGAGCCTGACTGCTCCTCTCCTTTGTATCTTCGTAAAGGTTTCCTGTAACGAGATGAATGTGACAAATATTTTTGCAGATTATAAGGTAAGAAAAAACCCCAACTATATAGCCCTGATGGGTACTGGGAGGATACTGGGGGCCAGAGGAGAGCACAGCGCAGTGGAAGGCAGGAGAGAAGCCCGGGATCCTGCCTGCCCTGGAGTGGTGCTGGGGAGGAGCAAGGAGCCCACTGTGACCCCCAGCACAAACGTTGGGCTGCCCAGCTGGTTCTCACCACTCCCGATGCCCTGCACAAGTGCCCTCACCTTCCCACACCCATCTTCACCTCCAACCAAAGCAGCATTGGTGGCTTTTGGCCACCCTGGGGACATGCAGAGGCCAGAGGATGGGCACGGATGGGCACCTGTGCTTGGGCAGCAAACAGTGGTTTCAGCTTTTCAGAGGGAGGAACATCTCCCTTTGCCTTGGAGTGCTGTCACCAGCTCAGACCCCTACATATGCCTATTGCACAGCATCTTGAGCACTGGGTAGACACAGTACCTCTCTTTAGCCCCTTACCTGGGGGAAGGCTCTGCAGTTAGCACAAGATTTAATAGCAGATAATAAAGCCTCTTTTCTGCTCTGAAAACTGCTGCCTAAGCCACGCTCCCTAGCCCCTGAGTTCCTGTTTTCACAGAAAGCCTATGCCCTTACCTTGTGCTACACCCAGTGAGGGGTACAGCAGCCTTCATTGGGGGCTGGGGCTCACCACCCTTCAGGGGATCCCCACACCCCTTCTGCCACAGGGAGCAGCCCTGGTAGTGAGAAGTGATGCCTGAGATGCTGCACAGCCCCACACTCACAGTTGCCCATGCTCACAGGGACAGACTGGTCACTTGTTTGAAGATACTGTTCATGAAAGCTGAGATAGAGCAGGCAGCACTGGGAACATCCCCCGGAGAAAAAAGTCAAATAGTTTTTTAATTGCCACCAGCACTTTATTAACTCCTCATCTTCCAGGTGTCTCTGCTATAGGACTTCTCAAAGCCTCTAATGAAGGCAAACTCTTCCCAGGTGCTTTTGTTATTCCTGTAGCACCTATGCCTGCTCAAACCAGCTTCACTCCCAGGAAACCTGTAGGGAGCAGCTTCACAGGGTCCCAGATTCTACATGTGCAACAGGAGAACGATGCTCCATCACAGGGGTGCTCACTGCTGTGTCACACTGCCACACCTTCTGCCAGGGGTTGATTCCTCCTCACCAAGAAAGGGATGGGAGCAGAGCCAGATGTGTATAGATCAAGATGGGAAGCTTCAGGGAGGCTTTAGCACCTCAAACCACAATAATCAGATATCCTTTAGAATAGAAAGATATTATTTGTAGTGTATTAATCTGCTGCTAATAAGCCATGACTATACAAGAGTATTTTTAAAACATCATGTGTTTTTTCCCAGAGAGATAACAATATGGAGATCTTGTGCAAAGCTGCTACAATTGCTCAGGAGGGCCAGAGCTGCCACAGGTACCTCGAGGGCATTTACCACAACTTGCTCAGCCTGGTCTGGGGGAGCAGAGCAAGGCACAAGGTGAGGCACAATTCTCCCCGCACTGCCCACAGTACCCAAGTTTCTCCCTTGGTCACCATTTTTTTTTTTACTCTCCCACCACCGTTAGCAGCCCAACCCAAGCTGCAGAATGCAGTCCCACCCCAGCCAGCTTTTTAACGGCACCTTTCTCCCATTCCAGAAGCCATGTCCTGCAGCAGCAGGCAGCACCACCTCACTGAAGAATTTCCTCAAGGAATTACACCAAGTCCTCCAAGAAGAGTATAAGACCACTTCTTTTGTTTTTAAGCTGTCAGCCTATTTTTCAAACATTATTTATAATAATTCTTTAAATAAATGTATTTTTGGACTGAATGTGCTGGCATTGCATAGGATGTTATACAAGGCAACAGTTAAGGGAGTTCTAAGTTTATGGGAACAAGGATCATTGCCAAACAATATGACCTGCTATGGAATTAAGCCCATGATAGCATGAGGAACAGAGGTCTAAGCAAAAGCCCAAGAGAAGGCAGAGGGGAGAAGCCAGGCCACAAATGGGGTAGGCTCCTGAAAGCTGGGAACTCAAAAGTACATGCTTGAGGTGCAAAGGGAAAAGCGAGCTCAAGCACGTACTTGAGTATGTACAGCTAAGCAAGTTCTCGCCTCACTTTACTTCTAACCTATAACATACCTATATATATAGCAGAGCACTTTGTGTCCCAGGAGGGAAGATGCCAGGACAGTGCAGGGTTTGGCTCATGCATCAGCTGAGTCACAGGTCTCTGGGGAGCTGCAGAGGCTACAGACCACGGAAAACCTGGTATCTACAGGCTGAGCAGGCTGGGGGGCCACCAGCATTGCCAACCAAACACACCTCATGCAGCAAAGGAAACAGAGTTGAACATTTCCAACTACTGCAGGTAAATTTACACCATCTGCACCAGTACAGGGTGCAGCTGGCTTGTGTAACACAGGAGACAAAGTGAGGACAGTATGCAAAGCCTTCTCCCCATCAGCTTTCCCCCCTCTGCAATGCACACATCAGAAGAGGCAGAGCTTCCGGAGCACTGACCATTGCAGGGTCCCAGAAACTGCTCTTGTAGTGCCCTGGCTCAGCCCAGGACCACCTCAACAGAGGATGGGCTTCAACAGGGGCTCAAGCAACTCCTTAGGAACATCTCTAGATCTGCAGGCTCATCCCACTGGTTTTCTCTATAGTCTTGCAAAGAATCCTCTTGTTCTGCCCTGTCCACCTCCTCCACAAGGTCTTGCTGCCCATTGCCCTGGGACTTGGCAACAAGGCTCCAACACACTCCAAACTCCCTGCACGAACTTCTCCAGAGTGCTGTGCAGCTCAGAGCTACACAGGCATCTCAACCACCCTTCCTCACCCAGTTCCTGACACAGAGTTAAAAAGATATGCTATGTATAATGTTATTTGGAAAACATACACACAGGGTGGAATTAGGAATCAAGAATTTTATTTCATAGTATGAACATGCTCCAGGGACACAGTATTGATATATACAGTATAATTAATTAACTTTAATAAAACAAGAAATAGTCAGAAATAAACAGACTAAAAAAACAATTAACAGAAAAATTATACAGACTAGCAGTTTTTCCTTCTGTACAGGCCTGGCTAAGCAGAGCTGTGGAGAACGGTGAAAGCTGGACAGGTGAAGACACCGTAGTCAGTGAAAGGCACTAAGGACCAATTAAAGGACCAATCCCTCTTAAAGGATTACGAACAAGTTAAACATTAATTAATTCATTTACACAACATTAAGCAAAAATCTCATTGTCACTGCTCTGGAATGAGGAGAATCTTCTGTTAGCAAGATGCACAGATGAGCCCACACAGTGTATGTTAGGTAATATGAGTTTTGATAAATACTGACCTGCAACAAGAAAAGTTGTATTAAGCTCTTAAAAGTCCATATAAATAAAATCTTTATTAAAACACATTATGGGCCCATTAGACATTCACAGATGGGCAGGACTATAGAGAGGGTCCATGTGGTAAATCTACAAGCCAAATTCCCTGGTCTTACAAGAAACTTCTCAAAACTTAAAAAAACCACACCACTTGATAGGTGAGCCAAACTGATACAGCACATGAAGCATGAGAGTGTTCAATTTTAGATAAAGTCCTCTTATAGAGCAAGTAATTTATCCTCCATGCCTCTGTAACAGTAGACGACTGGTTTCTCCACTGCCAATTAAAGGTGTGCTAACAATTATTGTTTTCCTCTGCTCCAAGGCTCACCCTAACATGCAGAGTACAACGGTTTTCAGCAGCAGGACTTTTATGTTAATTGTAAATCACATGCCTTTAGGTTTTAAGTATTTTAAATATTTAAATATTTGAAATGGAGTGTCATGTTTTGCAACAGTATCTTGAAGTGACTGATACCTGTCAAGTAAAAGGATTTTCAATGGTCTTTTTGAAAGCACGGATCTGGTTTAACCCCCATAAAACCAGATCATTCAATAAATGTTAACACAAGATATAACACAAAAAGGAAACGGAAGTTATCCCTGGTTCTGAGAATTAGTACAGGCCACAGCTATGCATCTATCTGCTTGGACTCAGAACTGAAAGACATTAAGCAGCATTTAAGCAATTTTCAGTCTGTATTTTTTGATGAGAAGTATATAGTAAGATAATCCAGCTCTATTCAAGCACATTTCAAATGAGGTCAGCTCTTCACAAGCAAAACCAACTACGGATTCAATCATGAAAGTTTCTGAGCATTTAACTCTAAATGAAAGGCTAGAAAAAGCAAATGTCAGTGTTTATATCTGTGTTGTACGAATTTAGGTGACACTCTCCCCAATAGAGAGGGCAGCATGTTCTTCCAGGTCATGATATTGAAAAAATATATATTAGTAACACCAGGAAAAAGCTTACAACTTGTTTAGAAAAGCACTGAATATATCCTTCAGAGCAAAATATGTCCTTACAAGACCAGTTTTAACTATTACAAATCCTGTCACAGACCTGTTACAAACTCCAAGGTACCTTCAGATAACCATTATGACAGGAAGAAAGGGCATTTAACTTCTTTAAGTACTTCACAGAAACATTCTGGTAAAAGTAGATGTGGCTACTAGCAAGGACTCAGGACACCTGAGGAGCTGTCTTGTTTTCTGTCACAGTGAAGGACTCCATTTCTCCTGTCAGTAATCACAGATTTTAATCCTTCAGGTAACAGTAGCACTAAGATGAGGTCACAGCTCATCTCTGCACCACGGCACAGGAGTTGCTGAGATACCCACAGCTGATGCAATGAGTTATAAAACACACATAGTCTGAAGGAGATGCATTTTCTCTGTGACACAAAAGCAACATATTAAACTGATATGTGTCTATTAGCAGCATAAATATCAAATAAAAAGAGCAGCCATCACAAATAAAAGGCTGTTATCAGAGACCAAAAATTTTTCCTCTCATCAGAGTATATCCAGAGATGCACACAGCATACACAGGAACACAGAGACAGCACCAGCTATGTCAGGGGATATTGTTCTGGGAAAACTGGGCAATTCATACTGTTTTACTAAAGGAGAGTCAAATTCATCCTTAGTGTAGAGCAGTGGCCCAGTGCCTTGTAGCCAGGGATAAGGAAACAGAGCCACAGTGCTCACCGCCTCACAGCTGAGACCAAGTCTTGGTGTTATAGCATCCTCCTTAAATCATGTCAGCTAAATCAGTTCAGATTACAAAACTACTCACACAAAAATGCTAGCCCTGAAGCATAAAAAGCTGCCAAAGTAACACAGTCTTAAAAGAAGGAAAAAAGCTCTCTTTTCCCTTAATATCCAAGGTCTCATTCTCCACAGTGCTAGCAGATCACAAACAAACTGATACAAATAAAAGAACTATTAGACATCCTTGATTTCTGCTGCACTTAAACAGAGCGTGGTCCCTTTTCAGGAATCTCAGGATTTTTGTGGTTCATGTTTCTCCTACCCAGCTACTTTCCCTGTACAGCAAGACAGCAAAAAGGGAAAAGGACTCTGTATTTGACACACAACACAACCGGGTTAACAGCCACAGTCAGGACTTTTAAATAAAAAGATCTGATATTATTAAAGGTTTGCAGCAACTACATTCAAACACAGATCAGTGCAACAGAGGACAACAGTGAAAGCTGCCAATTATGTGCAAAGCAGGGCATAAGTCAGATTTATCAGCCTTAATTTCAGGATTTCATTAACTGTTTTGAACTAACACATCTAGCACTTAAACACATATCTAGAACCCTATTTTCTATACATTTCAACAAGGATTACCAACAAGTTTCCCTGCACAACACATTTAATACACGAAATTTTACAACCATCAATCATATATACCAGTTTAATATTATGTTAATATAACATACAATATACAGGCAACTAAGGAAAAATATAAAAAATTACAGCTACGTCATTCTGTACCATCTTGAATTCCATATTCTGGCCAAACCTTATACACTCACTGATTTTTACAAGAATTCTGACCAGGTGACACTACTGCAGCAGGGAATCAATGACAGCTCCTGGCTTGGCCGAACGTTTTCTGTTTGAAGAGCAGAAAGGAAAGAGAAAAACAACACCACACACACATCATTATGCTGTCTAGGAAAGACAGAGACCAGCCACATTTCCAGCCAAAACTACATGACATGACTTCTCCACAAGCAAAACCAGCCGAACAGAAAACATAAGAAAGCATATGCTGAAATCTCTCCGAACAGCCTCTCCTCTCTCCGTTGGTACCAGTGTTTGCGCTGGCAGTGTGCCAGACTTTGTTAAACTGCACCACCGAATACAGCAAAATAAAGCAAGGAGCTTGAAAAGGAGAATGCAGCAAAAGTACATCAGCAAATCCCCAGACAAGTCTTTCTGGAGAAGATTTAGTGCAGTAAAGATCTCAACTTGGTTCTATTATACCTGGCAACACTGAACTACACCAGGCAAAAATTTTGTCCTTAGCCTTCTCATTAAGCAAATGTTTGAAGACTTGTGGTAAGTTTACATACACATACTTAAGCCTTTCCTTGGATAAATCCCTCATTGAATATGAATACCCCAGAGTTCTTCACCTTCTACCAGTCTTGGGCCTGGATCTTCCTTTTGAAGTCCTTGGCCTCTCCAGCTTCATCAGAGACTGCCTCAAGCTTTCTTCAGTGTAAGCTAAGTAAACATGGGAAAGGTCCACTTCAAAGGGCTAGAAAACACCAGAAAAAACTCATAAGACAAAATCATCAGAATAATTTTATACACTGATCAATGGTGTTTTCATGACACTACAAAGACTCATTTCTTCAGAAGAAAAGAAAATTGAAATTGGACAGCTTGGCTCTGAACAAAGAGTGGTAGCATCAGGCAGGACTTGGGCCTGTACAGTTGAATAAGTTAATTGAATAGTCACTCACATCTTTCTCTTTTTTATCCAGGACAGGCGTCTGTTTCCTCATATTGTTTCCTGTATATGCAACACATTTCTGTAAGCAGAAAAAAAAGGTTTGTAAGTAAAGTCTACTGTGCACAGTAAAGCTGACTACAGCTTCACCAATTTCTTCCTGGGCTCAATTAAACCCCTCAGAAGCTTATACTAACATTAGCTTGTACACAAGCCAGGCAGCCATTCTTACCAGCTGCCACTCTCCTATGTCTTCATTCCAGTGAACGTAGTTCTCAATCATTTCCTACAAAGAAGTCAGGACAGTAAATGTTAGACTTGCACAATCTACCCTCCAGGTGCACTTTCTAGACCATACATCCTAAGACCTGGACAACCTGCTTAAGAACAGTCTTGATCCCTTCCAAGTTGTTCCTACCAGGACAGCTATATGCGTGCAAAAGAAGCCCCCATTTATACTCTGAAGATTACAGAAGAGGAAAATACCACTCCCAAATTGTATGTACCAGAGAGCCCCCTAAAGCATGGGCCTTCCATTATGCCAACACCATCAGGTCAGCAGTAAGCAAACACTGTAATAGGAAAAAACTAAAAACTATAAAAAGAATTTCCCATTAAATAGTATGCATTATATTTAAGCTCATCATGAATTTTCTGTATACTGGAGTCATAAAGAAGATCTAAAAATCCAGTCTTTGTATTAATATCAGACAATAACAAGGACAACTTCAGGCTAGTGGAAAAAAACACAGTGAATATACCAGTTAACTATGTGGTGAATGTAGTTTTCTTATTTTTATAAGCCTTTACGAAAATATGCTGCAAGAGAACGGGGATTAGCACAGCACAATCCCTGCCCCAGGCTCAGGTGCATTGCCTTCACCTGGTAGTCCTGAGGAATGAAGTTGTCTATGATAAGAATCTGAAGACGAAGCTCCCTGCTCAGCTGCCGAATGTTTTCAAGCAGCCCTTCAATCTCTCTCTGATGTTCTTGTTGTAGATCTGCCATCTGAAAGAAAAACAGGCATTTGAGAGGGATCAGACTTATCTTAAGACATGGTAACAACATAAAGAGAACAGTCTTTTGTCTGTATGAGGTTTTTGGGAAAAAAAAAAAGTGAACTCTGGTTATTAGTATCAGAATATCTCTGAATAATAAACCCTCTGAAACATTTCAGCTCAGAGATGGCTGAAAACAGCATTAGGTTCTCAGTTTCATAAACCCAAAACTGGCCTTCTGCCAATCCAAGCTGCTTCAGCTAACACTAGATGAAGAGCATGAGACAAGTTGGATCCCTGGCAAGGTTTCAAGGAAAATCTCTGATTCCAAAGACCAAATGCATTTTTTATGAAACAGGAAGTCCAGCTACCAGCCAAAGGACACACTGATCCAGTGACTGAGGATGAGGTAACAAGGGCATCAGTCATAAAGGACGGGAAGCTCAGAGCAGAGAAGATTTTGGGCTGCAGCAAAGCAGGACACGGGGCTGCCAGCAAGCAACTTGCATTTTATTTCAGAAATAACCAGTGGTTTTCCTCGAAGTTCTTGATATCTTAGGGTCTCACACATTACCCTTCTCAGCCTGACCTGGGGATAAGCTCCACAACATGCTGTTCTAAAGCTCCAACTACAGACAGCATTTTTTAATTATGTGACCCAAACTGAAAGCACAGAAAGACATTTCTAAACATACAGCACATTTTTCAGCTTTACAAAGCTTATGGCTTACCCTTCCCAGTTCCGGTGCCTCCCAGGATCACTGGCCGAGGACTTTAGATACTAACCTCTGACTTTGCAGCCATAAGCATGGTCCAAACTTTCTTCAGTTTTTTGGTTTTCCCCTGTGCTTCCTCCTGGAGGTTGGTGTATTTTTCCTCGATGTCGAGGCGTTCTTGCTGTGGACAACATTTAGCACAGACACACGCACATTAACTATCATAGAAACTCTCTGCAACAGGATGAACAAGAGGAAAAACTACTTGAACAAACAAAGCATTTGCAATGAGCAGAGAGCCCTAGCTGAGCCAAGCTGGCTCAGACCTGCAGGGGTTGCAGAGCCAATGAGTGACCTGTGGAGGGGTAGCTTCTGCAGCACTTCTAGAGCAGAGCCACACCTGGGTAATATATCCTGGTGTGTCCTGCCATTGCTGTTTGCAGAGAGTCACAGTAGATAACCCCACCTCTTTCTCCTCGAGCTCCTTGCGAAGCTGCTCTGCTCTCTTCCTTCGTTCTTCGAGTTCCATGTTTGATTCTTCTAGAAGCTTCTCTTGCTCCTCTGCTTTTGCCAGCAAGTCCACTCCTCCCACAATCACCTTTTTCTCTAATGCAGACAGTTTCTCCAACAGGGACTGGTGCTCTTGCCTAGATAGACAGTAGGTGTGAGACTTCATGTCCTACCATGCTCAGCAGGCATCAGGTCCAGCTTGGTTTTATAGCTTAGACAGCACTCACAGGGCTGGAAAAACTTGTCTTGCTGCTGAGAGTTTAAGTAGGGGTTTAAGTGAGGCAGTGCAAGTGAAAGCAGTGAGCTCCCTAAGCTCCAACTCTCACCACTTTCTCTCAAGCAAAACCAGGTCAGCAGAGAAGTGCCTCCTGCTGCAAGTCACCTCTGCGAGGGCCTGCAAGCACCCAGCGAGAACCCCAGGCTACTCAAGGCACCCGTTGCCCAAAAGGGCCCTGCCAGCACAGCAAGGCCCAGAGGCAACTGCTGAAATAGAGGGGAGTGAACAGAGAACAAGGTAGAGCTGAAGTGCAAACCAGGATTGCTGGCTGCTGCTGGAGCATATCTGCATAGGGCAGTGCAACCTTGACAGCTTTTTGGCTACACCCAAAATTACATGCTTGTGATTGCTGCAGGAAACTCGGACTGTTACAGAACAGTACTACTGCTCCTCACAGGTCTTGGGAGATTAATTTATGTTTCTATCTTATACAACGAAGTAAAGTTAAGAAAAGAAGTGGCAAAAAGATAAAGGTTTGTCTTTCCCATATACTCTAACCTCTCAAAGAAGCAGCAGCTCCTCTTTCACCTTGACAATGGATGATGTTCACTTTGTAGAAAGTTTGACAGTGGCCTTACCATGCATCTCCAGATATTTGTCTGATTAAGGAAGGACAACCCACACGACCACACAAACTGCTCAGAGCATGGCACTCACTGAGCTTTGAGCAAGTCTTTTTCTCTCTTCTCCAGTTCAGCTCTGGCTTTATTTCTTTCTTCTTCTTCCATATCAAGCTTAGTTTCAAGAGCTTTTCTCTCCTCTTCAATCTTTGCTTGCATCTCTACCATCTTATCAGGGGAAACTTTCTTTTTGCCTTTGAAAGAAATGGGGAAAACAAATTAGTTCACTGAAAAGTAAAACAACCTCCCTATTACAGCATGTTTTCCAAGTTCAGATTCAATACTTGCCTTTAACAAAAATTTCATTAGGTATCAGCTTCAAAATGGGCAAAACTCAGTCTTTCAAATCCCATTTTAACACTGGCCAGTTGTCACCAGCTCCTACAGAGCAGCAATGCTGTGTAACTATCACTGGAACCTAATGTCCCCAAAATGCAAAACATACAAAGAACACCTGGAGAAGGAACACTGCTTGAAGAGAAGCCCAATCTAGAAACTCTGATGTTCTAACAAAGCAGATCAGGACAGAGGAAGGAAAACACAAGACTGCCTTGACCTACAGCTACAAGAGCTCACCTACCCAGAGTTACATACTCAAATTTCAAATCAGCATCTCTACTATTCCCCTGATCTGCCCTCTACAGGCTTACCTGTTCCAAAGTGAGAATGCAGTTATTTTTAAGAACATACTATTATGAAAATAGAGAAATTCAGAACAGCCCTATGAAAACCAGGCAACTAAAGCAACTTCTTGATGATATTTGGTCTATGTAACAGTGACTACTTAGATTTGAAAATACCAAGGCTGGCTCTGGATTCATCAGCTGTGTTTTAACAGCTTTTCTTTATATACAACAGAACTACCACAGTAGCACAACAGGTCCATGTCTTGGAAGACTACAAAGAGAGTGGCCAGAGCAACTCGGTGAACCTACTGACCTCAAGGTTTGGTACCAAACACCCCAAATTTGAAACAAAGTGTGAGGCTGCCGCTCTTGAAAGCGACTCTGTAAGTCTTGAGCCAGCTTTCACTGCAATCCCAGGAGTGCCCAAGGTGGGCGAACATAGAAATCCTGGGGGGTTATGCGGAATGAGAATGCATTTCATCAAATCCACAAGTCCTAAATATCCATTTATTCGTAAGCGAATCCATAATTTTCTTGTTTTGCTTTCCCAGACATCCAAAATCCCACCCTGCAGAATCCAGCTGTACTTGAAATTAACAGGAGCCACTGCCACCTGACTGTTTTCCATAGTGACATAATGCACACAGTCAGAATATGCTCAAGGAAGCTGTTCAGTAAAAGGCTTCTCCTCCTCCAGTCTTCAACATATTCAGCTTCATTTATATATATATACATGCATTTTATCTATAATCATATATATATATTATACACATATACACTCCAGCAAAGTGTACTGCATATGTAAACATGCATGCACATATTTTCACATCTGCATATGCATTTCTTCATGTGCACAAGAGCTTCAATTAGTTTCCTTGCAAGGCAAGGACTTCTCCACTACAACAAACAACACCTTCATTGCCACCTGCTAAACTTCAGAATCAGATAATGAGCCCTTCTTTCAGGGCTTGTGGTGCAAAAATCTCTCACTGATTAGTCTTTGAGTAAGAAGCTTTCTGGAAGTGCTATACAGAACTCATCATATGAGATAAGTGAGATAAAGGCTTCTCACTATTAGGACATAGCCCTATATATTCTCAGTTTAGGAGAAAAAGGTTAAGTGAAGCAAGTTTTAAGAACCTTTCAAAGCTTTGCAATTGTAAGAAGCTGAAAATCAATTACACCAACCTGCTTGATCTTGCATTAGGAAGAAGTAGAAAGCAAATCGCAGAGAGGCAGCAAACACATAAAAAGAGGAGAGAAAATGTTATTGGTTTGATCATTTTGGACAAAGATCATCAGCATAAGAACAAACATAAAATTTTATATTCATGTTTCTAGGGTAGAAAATATGAGATCACCATAACTAAAAACCCTTCTATTAGAGCAAACACTAATGCACCGTGTTACACTAAAGCAGAGAATGTGTCTGTTCTTCAGAGTGCTTTGCAAATCCAGGATAATCTTCAGCTCACTCTTGCACTCTTCTGCCCATTCTATGCAATGCTGGATCTAAACACAACATTAGGAGCCAGCTGCAAGGATCATGACCTAAGAAACAGTTACAGCAGGTGGATTTCTCCTTCAATTAACAAATTTAATGCTCCCCACACTCAAGAGAGCCAATTCTGTTATATTACCTGCAAAATATTAGCATCCAGAATACACGTTCTAAGTTTTAACCAAGATTTCCAGGCCAATTCTTTTCAAGATACACGACAGTTGCACATAGGGAGTCTCAACATAAAATTTCTCCATTTAATTACACCGGGGATTAGTAGGTTAATTTGCAGTAACTGGTGCTTCCATAGAGGTATAGAGCCAGTTTTGGTTATTCAAGCAAGTGCAACAAAAAAGGACAGGAAAGGGATAATGAAAGACACCACATGCAGAAGGGTCACACTAGAGGACAGTTAATATCCCAAACCACAAAAAGCTACACTTATCCCAACTGCCAAAAGCCCAGCACAACTTCCCCAACAGAGCTGTCTCCAAACCTGCAGGAGATGGATTCATCCACCTGCTGACACATCAGCTGTTTGCTATTAACTGTCCCCATCCAAATAAAATACTCAGGTTCCAAGCAAGCTTTAAAGGCGCAGGATTGAAGTAATCAAATTCTCAGCCTAGATTCATATGATCCATCAAAGGTCTCCCCTGGGTTGTGTTCCTTCTAACCCTGCTACCATCCTTCTCTGAGCTGAGGCTTTCCACTAACACCTAGTGTAAAAGTGAGTGAACTATACAGCAATACTTTCCAGGGTCTCTCAACACAGGAAGAAGAGTGGAGTGCTTCTGTCCAGGATAAAAACAACACCAGTTGAAGTCCCCACAAGCCAAGTCCCAAGATGTGATCTGTTTCCTCAATCCTCACTGATTGTAGGGTTTTTACAGGCACAGTGACCTCTCTGATCAGGAGCAGCCCAGACTTTCCTCACTACTAGATCAAAATCTGGATCTCCTGTTCCTGTGAACTAAGTCTCATAGAGATCAAGAACATAGTATCATGGGGCACTTAAACCCTAACCACCAAGGATATTTTTTAAAGTATCTGCAAAAAAAAAGCAGATCAACCAAGCATTGCAACATTTTCTTTGTTAGTGTAAACTTCATGCTGTTTGACTGTTCTCCAAAACTAATTCTGAGAAGGCAGAGTCCAATATAATATAGAATAGATACCCAGCTGTCCTTTTTATGAACTCATATTGTAGCAATTCCCATTAAAAACTTAGCTCAGTTTTTTCCCCTGTATTTTAAAAGGCACATTTAACACAAGGTGCAAACTGGATTTTTTTAACCTGTTATTTCTCAATTACCTTTAAATCTTGCTCAAGCAGCCTACTACATTGTTTCCTATTTTCTCGCATATCTGGCGAACAATGTGCACTTGAACGTGCAATTGAGTAACTGTTTCAAGCAAGGAAGCAGCAAAGGAAAGGCATGCTTTAGCAGAGTTACAGCTTGAGGTTCATCTTTCCAACAGACAAAGCAGGGAAGAGTGCAATATTGCAAAATGGAGTGTGCAAATTACGGAAAGGCCAAAGCTTAAAGGATTTAAGAGCTCCCACTCACTAGTGAAGGACTTATCCAGAGGCTTCTCTATGACAGAGCATGTGGAGTCTGAACTACTGCTGCTGCTACTGCCTGGAAAACAGAAATGTGTCCCACAGAAAAACCCAGAGAGGAAGAAACATGCAGATGGGAAGTTAGTTCTAAAGGAAAGAAACCCAGAAAAGCCAGCGACCTAGTTCAAAAAAGCACAAGTTCCCATTAGGAAGCGCTTGCTAGGATCCCTCCCAGACTCAGCTTGCAAAGCCCACCATTTCCCAGCACAAAACTGCATGCTCAGAAAGACATTTCAGTTAAAACCCATCTTAACCAGATTACAGCTTAAAACAACATGCCAAGGCAGCTTCCATTTTAAGCAACAACACCAGAGAACACCAGATCACAGTGGAGAAGGCTGTGGATATCTGCCATAGCAAAGGATTCAGTGACCATGAATCCTTTCCAGTCTTATGCACATGGCAATTTGCACCTCTCACTTTGGACGGCAGAACCAGCTTACACAGGGACAGTCAGCGTGTACTCCTCTGAAGCAGCTCTTTCAGGGAACTTAACTAGAGTAGCTCATTTGGGAGTTGAGTAAGTCATTCACTCTCTACTCCTTTCAAGCCGCACTTTGAAGGTGGTCTCCTCTTGGGAGGAGATTTGGGTAGGACATTTGGAGAGACTAGTCAAGCTCTCCACTTCTAAAAATAACCAAAAGGTGAAAAATGAACTTGTTACAACTATCACCAAAGGCATGGCAAAAGTCATTTATGACTACTTGGACAGACTAAATTAAGAGAGTACACCTAAAAAGCAGGAATGCTTTAACAGGAATTTTTTTCAACAGATGTGGGTGCTTCAGGACAGGAAGGCACTTTGAATGTCAAAATAAGTTTACTAGAAAAGCTGGAAGTTGGGATGTAGCACTGGGCTTGATTTCTCTACTATCCAAGAGGAATTACCAGCAAGATTCTAGAACAGCAAGCTTCCAAGAAGCCACAGCATCCCACAGGATACAGTGACCTGCAATTACAGGGTCAGCAACATCCCCTGGAGTTTAGATGATACACAGCAGTTTAACACTGATGTGGGATGAAGGAAACTTCACTATGGGATTTTCAGACTGCTCCCAAAAAAAGTATGTGCAGGACCCATTAAACTTTTCGGCTAGCACAAAGACACCCAAAGGTCGAGTTCTCCCTCTATCAATATAAAATAGAACAGAAGAGTCAGTTACTGAAGATCCATAAGACAGATGAATCCTTTGCCTAAACCACAGACAAAATTCCCCTCCAATCATACCCATGGCTGTAAAAACCACACCTGCTTACAAATTATCTTTGGTGTCTTGTTCTTCTCCCCTCTGTGAGCAGGGGAAGTTCCACACCACCAGTCACAAGCCATACACAGCCACCTTGCAGCACCCAGGGAGCCACTACAAAGGATGATGCCACAACAAGCACAGCTACCCAAGTGGAAGCAGTGACTACACAGGTTTGGAGCTGCCCATCTACAGAGATGGCACTAAAAGGCTTAATTTCCAGGAGAGGCATGATAATTGCAGCGGCACAGGACAGCTCTACAAGTCCTCTTGTCCCTGCCTGGCTCTGGCTACACTTCCTACACCAGCTTGTGGGTAAGAGGAGACTGGCAGCACTGGCAGGAATCTCTACTGCCTTACCCCGCCGTTTCTTCCGCTTCTCCTCTCCAATCTCCCCATCTTCATCCTCCTCTTCAGAATCGCTGGTTTCAGAACCAGAGATCTCTTCCCCTAGAAGAGAAGAATGTGCTTTTATCAAAAGCTTTCCTTCACCTCAGATCAGCTTGTTACTTTGACAGCAGCATTTGCCCAAACACAGCAGTGCCTGACATCAGCTTATGAGTACTTGCAAAAGTCCTTAACTGTTGAGCAAGCAAACAACTTGCCATGGCTCAGGAAACTTAAGGACAATCAAGATAAGCAACTGAATGCTGTGATGTCAGTGTGTATGTATTAAAGCTCAAAAGGCTGCTTTTTATGGAAAATAGAGCATCTTTGCACAGCTGAAGCTACAAAGTTTTCCTATCAGGATTCTACCATACCTTCTCTTCCACCTCACACTTCTGTCTCAGATGAAAGAAAAAGAAAGAAGCATTACTGACCATTTCCTGCTTCTCCTGAATGGGGCAAACAACAAAGAGCAAGTCATGCTGGAGTTATTGCTACAACTATTCTGGGCTGTATCTCCAGAGAGAGATGTTGTGACATCTGGTGACTGTTTAGCAAGCATCCCTCCAGCAGGATCACTCCATGTTGATGGACTAATAAGAGACACAAGGTTATGAAGTTACACGGCTTAAAGAAACTTCTTGCCCTACGGTGTTTAGAAACCCAGTTCTAGCTCCACAAATTTGGTTCGATTTTCCTTCTGATAAATGCATCCCTCCCTATCCTATCAGAGAAGGAGTGTGACCTGTTATTACAGTTCAGTTTAATACCCTATACCATGTCAGTTGTGTCCAGAGCCCCCGTGCTTGCTACGGAAACCCAGGGAAACCCGGGCACACTGGTCCCAGCCTGGAGGCCACCACTTACCCTAGTGCCAAGTGCCACCTAGTGGGAAAGTCGGGCCCCCACGAGCCTCTTCTGGCATCCAGCAGAGCAAACAAAACCAGAACACCGACTTGCACTAGCAGCCAACCTCATGTGATACATATTCAAGTAGCAAAGAATGCTCCCATTCAAGGAGAACAAGCATCGTGCAGAGAGCAACACCAGGGGGAAGGAGAGTCTCACCTTCTTCCAGTTTTTTCTTAAGCTCTTCAATTTCTTTTTGGAACTGGCGGAGCATAGCATCCTTGGGATCCTCATTAATCCTGGCCTTGTTCTTTATGTTCTTAGCTCTGTTTGCATACCTGAGAGTGCTGATGGTCTCATCGTAGTTGTAGTCTGCTGGTCCGATGTTTGCACACTGTGACACGTGGAGACCAAGTTACTGGAGTACAGTGTCAGAGCCCAGCACAAGGCACTGCAGGAACCCAACCCCAGCTCTGACAGTCTCATGCTGCTACTCTTTCCCAAGCTTTCCTGCTGCTTCTACACTGAATGACTACCCAAGCACAGGTTCTGTTTGATCTCACGCAGGTATGTACATGTGTGCTGTGTTTAGAACCTCATCTATACAGAGCCAGAGAGAAAAGATAGAAAGACATGCACACAGAAGGTTCACTAAGTTGCAAACAACTTAGGATTAGTGAGGTAAATACCGGGCTGCTCAAGTCACTATGCTATCCCTGCAAAAATGCAGCCCAATAGCTGGCACTAGAAAGGGCATCTCTTAGCTTACCATCATGGTTTTGGAGTTGCCCCCCAGGGAGTCCTGCAGCAGCCGTGTGAGTTTGGAGTTACGGTAGGGCACGTGGGTGCTCTTGCCATCCACCAGTGCAGAGATAACATTGCCCAGTGTGGAGAGAGAGAGGTTGATCTTAGTGGCTTCCTTCAGTCTCTGCCCTGTGGCTCCAGTTTTTGTCTGTCTTTCAGAACCCTGCAAAGTGTACATGAAGCAGAAGTTAAAACAGATTCCCTAATACATCTCCCTCCAAACAGAACCAGCTACGTGTGAAATTTTACTAGCAGCTATGTCACTAACCTCTTCATCCACTATTAGAGAACCTTGCTAAGTATCTCAGACATTGATTATTAAAGAGACAAGTCAAACAGGTCTTAACAGAAGCTTTCAGTGCCAGCAAATTCTGGATTGCTTAAAGTAATGCAGCTGGGAAAATTGAGATTTTCCTCCCCATGAACAAAAATGTTAGGGGAATTCAGTGAGCAGTTAAAAGGCAGTAGAGCTGGAGCTGCCAACCACCATCTACAGCCCTTCACATCAGTAGAACAAGAGCAAACAGTGACACTGCAATTGTTTTAAAGAGTTTCACAGAGCATCCTATACATACATCACATAAATAAGTTAAAATGCATTTAAATAAGTTGAATGCTTTTAGTGTCACTTTTTCTGTATCTTCCTCAAGGAAAGGTACCGCAGTGTAAATCTTGGGCTAAAGCCATGTTTTACCAGCACAATTACATAGGTTCAAAGTGTTACACTGAGGGAAGGAACCCGCAAGTGATGAACAATATGGTCATAACCCTCTGGAAAAACCTCAACAACCCAAACCAAATGTCTTGCCAAAGATCTGGCTGATTGTACTCACAGCAAGGTCAACGAGATGCAGCTTGCCCATGCGCACATGCATGTTCCCATCTACCCCCTTCTCACTGCACTCAATGGTGATAGTGAAGATGGCATGCGAGCGAGAGCTGTGCTCATTCATGTTTGTGGCACCAACAGAACCTTTTAATACAGGAAAAAGCAGTGATGTCTTCAGAATTAATCACATCTTCATCTAACTCTTCCTTCTCTCAGAGGAGACTCATCCCCACCTCTTTACTCAACTCTGTATTCCAGAAGATGGCAGAGGGTTGCTCAGACTCAGCAGCAAAGTCTATTCTTGGGCACTGAAGTTGCAGTACACTTCCAACCTAGATTAGTAGAAGGTCCTGCAGCCTGCTATAGCTCTAAACCAACCACAGACCCCCAAGACCAGCAACTGTCCTCATATGTTTACAGATCAGTAGCTTAAGGTTTCACAGCAGATCCATGAAAACAGTTGTATTTTGGGAAATAAGAACACAGCAATCCATGCCAAGGGCTACTGGAGAACTTTAAGACATTAAATAATCTGAGCTTAACTAAGAAGTCTTCCAGAACACAAACTACCTCCCACTGACAGCACAGGGCTGATGTTCATCCTGATCAGAACTGAAGTGGAAAAAGGACCGACATACACAGGCAGCTCTGACAGCACTGGCTGCCCTCACTGCATCCTCCCTTTGCTGATCCCCAGTGCTGATCGGCGCTGGCGGATTTAGGAAACACAGCCTTCTTTACTTGCCCCTGCACAAAACGGGTCTGGAAGGAGATACCCATTTTGCTCTGCTCAGCCAAACACTCTTCCCAGCAACAGGACGAGGATCGTCCTGCTGTGGTCTGGCAACCAGATCTTTACTCTGTCTGAGCTATAAACCTGCTCACAGCAAGGCTACGTACGGTTCTTGTGGCCCAGAGTCATGATTCTGTCCATATCATCTGCATTGTTTACAACATAAGCTGAAAGGTCTTTGATATAAACTCCCACATCAGGTCTCTCTTTCACCTAAGAGAGAAACAGATCAGACTGAGCATCCCTAGGAGAACCCCAACAGAAATTCTAGTGATACTGTAACAGTATAGTGGTTTACTCCTCCATTTTATGCCTTGCACATAGAACACTTCACTTGGAATCAGAGCAGACAAGAAGTAAAGACTCACACATGACAATATGCTACTGTTTCCCTCTGGGGGAACAACATGATTTAAAATCCCAGTCTCTAATTCCCACGACTGCTGAGGGGCCTTTGGGGTAGAACTGCAGGTACAAAACTGCCTCAAGTGGAACAGCCAGTTTGTGCAACTGACCAAGTGGAAGAGATTCAAAGAAGCCAGCAGTGACATCCAGCTATTGCATTGCAAAGGAAAGAGGACTGCTGAGGAGCCCAGCCTCCTATTTCCCTCCAAGTGCTTCTTTGATCTTTAAAACAGAATATTGCTCTGATTCAAAACAAATACCACATTCAGAAGAGGAAGCTCACCTCTAACCTCTGTGTCTGGTCCTTTCCCAGCAGGTCCCGCACCTCCTCATTGTAAATTTCCAGGTAAGAGACGCGAACTAAAAACCTGCAGATGAACAGCTGGGTAGTTCACTTAGCAAAACATTTGCTGAAGTCCCACAAACACAGTCACAGAGTGCATAGAAAACAGTGAAATACCAACACAGTCCTGCTGCTGCCCCTCAAGAACTGCCTAAGTGGGAGTCTTTCATCTTGGGAGAACTACCATTTCTGTTGTCATTGTCAAGGTCAAGCTCCTCCTACACATGGCAGACTCATATTAAAAAAAAAAGAAAGAAACAGTCAAAGGAAGGCATTTACCTTGTATCCCCCTCTGCCTTGGCAATGTGACCAAATATATGGGCAAAGGAATTGGGAATGATGCCTCTGAGCTCAGGAACTGCTCGGACCCCTTCCATGGTGAAGGTTTTGCCTGTTCCAGTCTGCCCATATGCAAAAATAGTACCTGGAGGATAAGATAAAAGAACAAACTCTAAGAAGCTGAATCTTCTCTAAACTCTAACAACAGTTTTACTTCATCCCTTCTCAGCCTGATAGCACCAAACATCTCTATTTTTATGGAGTTACAAGTTTTCCACCCACTCCAGTAGCTACCGGAATACAAAGCTGGAGCAACAGAAATGCTGAGCAAATACAGCAAACAGGACCTACCTGCTGCTTAATCCAGCCTGCAAGATGTCTAATAAAACGTCAGCTTGTTTTAAAAGTGCAGAGTGACTAAAGCATGGAATGCTAGTACACTTCAGTTCCACATACAAACAATACAGGCAAGCCCAGTTAACAGCATGACCAATTAGCAGCACATGATTATACACCAACAGCAAACCCAACTACTCCTAAAGATACAGCAGAAATGGTGTGCGGCTTCTACAACAGCAAAATCTCAGCTCTGAACCTGCAGATACAGCTACAATTTGGACTAAAGAATCAAAAGAAGGCATCCAGAAATGTTACTTAAATCCCAGACTCTGGAACTCCAAAAATATCCCAGTTCTTAGATTTAGCCTAGCATTACTCAAAACTCAAGTTTTTGTTATCAAGCCACTGACATTACAGACTGGAAAAACTGAATAGAATATTTCAGCTGGAAGGGACCTACAATGATCATCTAATCCAACTGCCCAAGCAATTCAGAACTGACCAAAAATTAAAGAATATTGTTAAGAGCATTGTCCAAATGCCTCTTAAATTCCAACTTGGCACATCGATCACCTCTCCAGAAAGCCTGTTCCAGTGTCTCAGTAAAGAAATGCTTCCTAATGTTCAGTCCAAACCTTCCCAGGCACAGCTTTAAATCATTAATTTTCAAACCATGAATTTTAATCAGCTGAAACCAGTGTCTGTTAGCACAAGAGATTATGAGGCATTTTACAAACCTTGGAAAACTTTGTAAACTGTTATTGTTTGTGGCACACTATTATGGAAAGCAGTAATCAGCTTTCCTTTATATATTACATTTCTGTGTGTAACACATACACAAATAACGGACATGCTGTTCCCAGCTGCAGGAAGCAATAGACTATCTGTGGGGAAGGGCAGACGTGTTTAAGTAGTCACCCTAGTTGAAAATAGCAAAGTTCAGAGGAAAAAATGCAGCAGCTCTATGCAAAGGTCTGGTATGCATACCTAGTGACAGCCCTCCATGGCAGCTCCTGGGTACTGAAACTGTATAGTGAGGAGCTGCTGAGAATTCTGATGACATAAGTGCATATATTTTGCAAAGAGAAAATAAAGGATAAAAATATGCACCTAACTGATCTCAGTGGAGTCTCCTTCATTACCCATCTCCCACTGTTAACGACAGTAGTAGGTACAACAACTGAGCACTCAGAACAGCAAGTACCTTCAGGCTATTTTAAGTTAAAGGCCACAACAGAAATTATCCGGGGCTACAGCCCTCAGAAGGTGAAATTTCCTTAAACAAGCTCAACAGGAACTTTAATAAAGCAAAGAATAGGAGACAAGATGGGATCCTTCCCTTACAACAAGGGACTTACCATTGTATCCTTCTAGGACAGAATCTATAATAGGTCTTGCTGTTAAATTGTAGACATCCAGCTGTTTGCTCTCTGGTCCAAACACTGTGTCAAATGTGAATGTCTTAGGAGGCTCATTGGATGAGTCTGTTTTATGAACAGTTATAGTTCCCCTCATCTCATCCACATTCACTGCCATTTTGTAGCCCACAGCTTTCTCCCGGTCATTGAGAGGCCGGCAGCGAACAACCACCTTGACATTGTCGGAGCTTTCCGGCTTGTCCAGCTTCTCAGGCTTGTTAATCTATAATTATTAAAAAAACCATAGATATACACTGTCTGTAACACTAGCGTTAACACAGAATCACAGGAAGGTTTAAGGTGCAAGAAACTCAGTTCCACCTCCTGCCATGGGCACAGACACCTTCCACTGGAGCAGGTTGCTCCAGCCTGGCCTTAAACACATCCAGGGATGAGCCCACAGCTACTCTGGGCAACATATGCTATCGACTCACCATCTTCACAGGGAAGAATTTCTTCCCAATATCCAATCTAGCCCTGCTGTCTCCCACTATTGTGTGTTTAAGCACAAAGACTGTTGAATCCGCTTCGGCAGCTGATGTACTCCAAAGGATCATAAACTTGGAGACTTAAAACCAGGACTGGTTTATAATTAAAGTGGAGAGAATAACGCACTTATTCAGGCAATGGGATCTTCTGTTTGCCAACATGGAAACTGAATGAGTAGCCCTTAGGCATTTCACATTCAACACCATCTGTGATTTTCTTCAAGAAACAATTTTACCTTGCAATCTGCAAGAAGTTTGCTGGAATTCAGTGCAGCTATGACATTCGTTTTCAGTAACACTGACTATACATTCTCAAACTCACAGAGCACACAGCCAGACACCAGAGAGTGCTGTCTGAAGGGAATTCATTTTAACTACAACCCTCAGTGTACATGCTTAAGTTTAATTCTTTAGAAAACCTGAATGTTGTATGACAAAACCTCACATTCATTTTCTTTCATGTAGTTACCAAAACAAATCTTGAAGCACGGCTGATGAATCTAGTTAAGCCTGAGACACTCCCCTGGGTTAGAGGTGCTGTAGCTGAGCGTTTAACTATTCCTAGAGCAACTATATTGGATGTCAAGCCGAAACAAATCCTGTTTCCAAGCGTTTCTCCCTCCAGCTGCCACCTGCCCCTATTCCTCTCAGGCCTCAGCAGCGGCTTTTGCCGTCCTGCTGAACGCAGAGAGCGGCTCAACCCCTCTTAGGCGGGGGAGGGATGGCACACGAGGCAGCAGCCAAAATCAGGAGCAAGATTAAGGTGTCTCCACGATCCACTCGAATACGGATATGCAACGAGACCCTCCGGGGCGGCCGAACTTCCACCCCCTACTGCCAACGAGCCGCTGCCTCTGCAGGGCCTTATGCTGCTCGCAGCCCCTCATCACCCGCTGCCCCGCTCGGCCTGACAGGCACCGCCCGCCCTGCGGCTCCTGCGCGCACATGGGAACGGAGGTGACGAGGTCTCCGAACCCCAGGCGCGGCGGACAGAGGTGCGCAGTAAGCGGACGGCCCCAGGGGCCACACCCCGTGTCCCCCCACCCCAGGTCTCACCGGCATGGCGATAGCGATGGCGGCGACGACAGCCCAGGCCAGGCGGTGGCACCGCGGAACAATAACAGCACTGCGCCTGCGCGCGCACCACCCCGTGGCCAACCCCCGAGCTCTGCGGTAGCCGCGCAACCAATGGCGGGCGGGGGAAGGCGGGGCCGAAGAGAGCCCAACCAATGGCGGCGGCGGAGCGGAGACAGTGGTGGGTGGGGCGTCCTGTCGCCATGGGAACGGCGGGGTGGGCGGAGCGTCCCGGGGACTGCCCGGGAGGAGTGGGAATAGTGCGCGGGGTCTGGCCGCGGGCCTGACGGGTTGACAGGACTCCGAGCGGTCTGATAGGGCTCTGAGGGATCTTCAGTCGGTTTGACAGGTCTCCAGAGCTCTGACAAGACTCCACTGCTCTGGAAGGGCTCCAGGGGATCTGAGGAGGCTCTGGGACTCAGGCAGGGCTGCAAGCCCCAACCTGTTCTCCACGTAAGGAAGAAAATTTCTTCTTTTCCTGACTGTAACGTTTTGAATTGCTGAAGAAATAGAGGGACTGCAAACTAACTTAACTATAAACAAGCAATACAGTCCAAGTGGCACATAAATCAGTTAGTCCCGCACTAATGAGGCACATTTCCAAGTTATTTGTCATTTAGTGTAAACTTTCACGGCGTACTACTGGGATCCTCCACAGCCTCACCTGCTCCTCTCCTACTCGAAGCATTTCAACATCACATGGTCCACGTGTCACTTATTTGCAGGAATTAAATTATTCCAACAGTCTGACTTTGTCCTTTCATAATCTATGTCTTTAAGAGTCAAAGACAATTTTACTGAACAGGAGAGGTCCATGAATAGTTTCCCCAGTACCTGATGCCCTGAATCACACTTGTCCCGCTTCCCCCTAGGTATTTGTGCACACCCAAATCCTGTAGGCAGGTCACAGGGCATTGTTCCAGTCCCACTCCTCCCTCATTACCTTTGCTGTGGACCACTGAGGCCTGGGATCCCTGGGCAAGGCAGGAATCCCCAGCACCAAGCACCCACACAAACCAAGGGCTGTACCTCAGTTGTGCTGTATTTTTGCCGGAGGGATGTAAGCAGGAGCAGGAATGTGGACAGAGCTGATGTGTACCTTGCAGACCTCCCCCACCAAACTGACTGGTGTATCACAGGGCCGGGAACACACCGGTAATGACAGGACAGGGCTATTCACTCAGCCCCAGGTGTGCATCATCAGGTGAGTCAGGAAGCTTGAAGACCAGCTATTTTGCAGTCTCTTTGCTCTTTACACACTGCCATGGTGTTACTCAGAGATGTACTGCAAGCACAGATTCATGGACTAATAAATTAGCACCAGAAAATATATAACCCAAGGGGCTAGTGAGAGAACAGAGAGTTATGTGTAGGCAGGCAAAGCTGAGGAATGAGAAAAGGTTTACTATAACATATTGGAACCAGCTTCCCACAGAAAATACTGCAGGAGGAAAACAAAGGGGTCCAGGATCTGAGGGAAAAGCTGACAGTGGCTTTGAGTCATGGAGAGATCCTGGGTGGAAGAAAAGGTGCGGTGAAAACATGGATGCTGGCAGAGGTCCAGTCCTGGGAGGGGATGAGGGTGCATATGCTCCATGAAACACACAGACAAAAGATACTTCCTGTGACTGGAAGGAAAATAGGTTCTGGCAGGTGCTGGGATTGTGTGGATCTATCAAATATGTGTTTTCGACAGGGTCAAGTAGAAGAGAAGGGACAGCGCGGGCAAGCGGGTTTGGAGGCTATGCTGAAGGTTACAGTGTTTATCACCGTGGCAGAATTTCATCCCGATTCCAGGAGCGCTTTGCCTGACACAGTGATCTCTGTGCAGATACGACAGACCCACACTGAGTGAGACAGCATTCACCTGGGAGATCCCAAGCGGACGCCGAGAGACAAGATGGGTGTTCCAGCCGAGCCGTGCCCTGAAGATTGGGCACCGAAGTTCCTGGCGGAGGAGTCCAGCAGCCCCCGAGGCTGGGTCCCCCGCAGGTATCGGCCCGGCTCTCCACCGCCCTCCCGGGGCGGTCCCGCTGCAGCAGGCGCGTCACCGGGCCCGCCCGTCTCCGCCCGGGCCCGCCGCGGAGCCGCTCCAAGCACCGCCTGTGCCCCGTGCCCGATACACTGACGAAGAGGGTAAGGACGCGGTCGGGACGGGACAGGGCTCCCCATCGTCCCCTAGGCGCTCTGCAGGGCTAGAGGGGCTGTCTGAGAGCTGGCAATGCGGGAGCTACTCGGTTTCGTTCTCAAGGGCAGTCGAAACTAGCCATAGGGCGAAATTTTAATTATTATTCTCCCCCCCACCCCCAGCTACCCAAGAGTAAACTTCTCAGCGCATCAAACCGGTCAGATAAATCATTGCCAGCTCTCCCTCTGCTGAAACGGTCCGGCTTTGGATGCTCTGACATCCAGTGGCAGCCGAAGTTAAAGTCACATGTGGTTCCTGCTTTTAGGGAAACCTAAAAGAGCTCCAGCTTTAGAAACGTAGAGCGGTTTCCAGAGGATGTCACTTTGGGGTTTTTAATGGAACTGCAGCGAAAATGGTGTGGGCTTCCAGGAAAGAATGGTGAGGAACTCTCTTTGGAAAGAAAACCAGGAATTTTATATCTAGTAACATCTCTTTTCTGTTATTAATTAGACACCAATATGTAAGCTTTGAAATAGTTTCAGGCTGGATGTTCTCATTCACTTGGTACTGATATGATTCACAGATGTTTATTTCCTGTAAATACACCCCTCAGTATGGAGAGTGGGATTTCTAAAGTGGTATCTCCAAAGATACTTCTCTGAGGAAAACTTTTAATTGGGAATTCATAAACCCCCTAAGAACAGTAATTTTTGAGCCTTTGTATGGAAACCATAAGCCTCTATTTGCCAGAAACTTGAAATCAGATGATAACAGGTTGCAGTGTAATAGCTCTGCAAATGGAGAGCCAAATGTGGGAAGCAGGGTAAGTGGAGTAATCTGGACCAGGTTTCTCAAGTCATTACACAGCCCGGGAGGGAAGAAGCTGGACTGTACTGTTGTTCAGCCATCTGACATGTTTTCTTTCATCAGGGACTTCCAGGGAAAATGTGTATCAGGATTGCCTCGTCTGCAAGCAAACAAGTCCTGTGGCTTCTCCTCAGTTCTCAGTGCTGGAAAGGCATCAAGAGAAGAAATCATACTTAGTACAAGGAGCTGGGATGTTGTTTTATAATTTTTTTGCTGTTTGTTTTTGTCAGTGGCTCCCATCAGGAAACTGGCTCAAACAGCTGCCATGAAGTCTCCTGGAGAGCTCCTAAAAAGCTCCAGATTTGCCTTTTTTTTTCTGGAAAATGCCTTAGCCAAAAAGGCCAGGATTTGGAAAGGGCCAGTTTTACAGAATCTCATCGTGAAGGTATCCTCCCCTGTCCTCTTTGGAATTCCCTAAAGGACCTTGCAAAGATACCATGCTGGTCATGCCATCTGATTAACCTGAATGCAAAAGTCATCCCTCATGGACTAGGCCTATGGAATACAGGCGGAGGAGGGTCTGTTTTTGTCCCATTTTATTGATGCTTTGTATAAACCAGGGACTTTGCATTTTGTTCTGGCTCCATCAGAAAAGTAGTAGTTTTGGGAAATGTGAAATAGTTTGGGATAATGTACTAGAGCAAGTAAGAGTGGCCATTCAATGGCAAAACCATAAAGTTGGCATATTGTGTTCAGCACCATCTGTGAATTCCATCTGTTTAGGTGGGAGAAGATAGAATTCACTGAGGCCTAACAGAAACCCAGCCCCATTCCAAGCTACCTTAGGAAGAAGCAACAAGACTCTGGCCTCTGTGAACAATGCAAACAGTTTTGCTTGGCTGCTTCTGTAAGTGCAGCAGAACCATGGAAGAATGCACAGAAAGAATGCACAGAAGAAAGCGTCTTAACAGCCTTGTCTCTTTTTTGCAATAGTCTAGAAATGCTAATTTTTACGAAGTATTTTTACTACCAAATTAAGCAAAATAATAACAGATAATGTGATGAGTAATATTAAACTAGTTGGTGTTTAGTCTTGTCTGTTCTGTGTAACTGCTTGGCCCTTTTACTTCTCCTAGAACAATGTTCAGGTGCGTTCCATAGCTTCTGGGTGCTATTCTCATGGCAGCCATGGTCCTCCCTTTCACCTCAATGCAACTTCAAATAAGGTATAAGAAAGAAAAAGCTCAGTACATTTTACCACGTACCTCTGGAGAGTCACAAAGCTGGTCCTGGTCCCAACACTCAGCAAATCCAAGGGCTGTTAAAACTCTTGCAGAGTAAATCAAAACCTACTCCTGACTCCAGTTTCTCTGTTGACACTGGCTGGGTGGAACATGTGCTGCATATAGGATTCAGCTTTCCCAGGGTGGGAATAATGAGTACACTCAGGACCTTGTTCATAAGAGCTCAGTTTGAGAGGCCTGGGTGCTTCCCCACTCAGTACTCCAGTACAACTGAGTACCAGGCCTGTGTAAGCACAGCTAGAGCCAGATGGATTGGGTAACACAAGTGAGTGCTTTAAACTGCTCCAAAACATGCCCTTGGCCCTCTCTCTGTGGACACAGCTGACAACTTCCTTCATTTCAAGGCTCCAGCCATCTGAAATGCTAATTAGAGCACTTAAAAAGATTTTAGTCTTTGGAGCTATCTTAACAAAATCATCAAAGCCCTAACTGTATTTTTCTTCTAACTTTTCCTTCCCCTCAGGGCACAGATATCTCTCTGTCAGGTTACAAAAGAGTGGTTCTCAGCTCCCAGTTCCAGTTTTATAAACGCTCGCCTTAGCACCCAGCATCTTCAACAGGATGTTGGCATCAATAAAGGTAAAGATCTCTGTCACCTTTTCCCTGGCTAGATTACTGACTGGGAATGTAAGGAGAATCGGTTATATATATCAGCATATAATCATATAAGCAGGGATGATATTTGGTAGCAGATTTAGGGAGCAGTCAGGGTTGTTGCTGGGGAACGCCATTAAGCAAATATATATATACACACACACACACACACACATATGAGCTTGAGTGTTTAATGAGGTTCCACTGACCTCATTAGAATTGTTTGTGTGAACTTAGTCCAACTGCTGTGGTAAGTACAAAGAACTCATCTGGTTTTCTCTGCTAAACAGAAATTTTTCACATTATCACTTTTAATATTCTGGTTTTTAGACTAGTATTTTTAATTAAACTGTGGGGCAGACCTTTTCTGCCACTGAAGCAACAGTAAAGGTAGGAGTTGAGCTGAGCCTTGCAGCTCCCAATTCTATTTAGGTTGATACTGGCATATAGAATCACAGAATCATTAGGGTTAGAAAAAGCCTCTAAGATCATCGAGTCCAACATTTGACTGATCACCACCCTATTAACTAAACCATACTACTTAGTGCCACATCTAGTCTTTTCTTGAACACCCCCAGGGATGCTGACTCTCCCACCTCCCTGGGCAGCCTGTTCCAATGTTTAATAACCTCTTCCATTAAGAATTTCTTCCTGAAGTCTAACCTGAACCAATATCTGAAAGTGAGGAGCAACATTGCAGCATAAATACTGTGGAATTGCATAGTCTAAAAATTTTGAGAGACATGAATAAAAATTGCACCTATAAGAGGATGTATTCTGCTTCACTTTGAATTTCCTTGTTCTATTTCCAGCTTCTGTAGCTAAAGTAATTCAAAAGCATTTGTAACTTAAATGAAAGTTTGAAATTTGTGTATGTATCATAGAATTACGATACAATTATTTCCCCCAAGACCCTTATCTTCTTTACTCAGTGTTTTCTTCTTCTCTGTTCAGGCCCAATTAAAATATCTGCAATGCATTGCAATTTCCTGCGTTGTCCTTCAGCAAAAAACAATGAAGATGAGGTCTGTATGTTTCGTTTTAAACACACTAAAAGCTTTCATGTTTCCAGTTCTTTGAACAACTCGGACATAATGAAAGTGCTAATTTGTTCACCCTAAGTAGTCCTAAAGAGGTGAAAATAGCATTTTCAGTCCTGTTTCATTGTTGCTCTGAAGAATTGTGACCTTTAGGAATGAAGGACTTGTTTTTGTTTATGTCATGGATGCGTTTCTGTCCTGCCCCCAAACCTCTCTCCTCTTTTCAGAATCCAGGGCTCACAGTAGAGCTTAGTCTGAGGGGACAGTCAAGAAGCACATCAGGCGGCTGTAATTTCCATGGTATAGCTCCTGGGGGGGCACAGCAGGCGTGACAGAGCAGAGGCTCTTCAGAGGAAGCTTTAAATAGATGAGTTTGTTCAGAGCCAAAACTGGTTTCTAAACCCAGTGAGGAACTGACTCAGGTCTGCACTTCAAGATGAGAAAGTAAAGTCAGCAGCCAGTGAGAAATTACACAGGGTATTTCTCACGGCAAAAATGCAGTGATAGACTGCAAGCCCTACCTAAAAGTATTTCAGATTGCATTCCTCCTCTTTTCTTCCTTCTGCTTTGCAAAATAAGAAGAAAGCCAGGAGCTGCAGTCAGACATACACACATCTTCAAACAGTCACTGCGGTAGTGAAATGTTCTTCACAGCCTTTCTTAGGTGGTGTTACACTGAGGTTATTGTTCTTTTCCTCTCAGGAGGAGAGAAGCTACATCAATGACCAAAAGAAACAAGACAACCACAGCAGGCCTTGTAAAACAGGCTGACAGGAAGCCTCCTCTGAGCAAAACTAGTGGTAGCAGGGAAGGTGCATCACTGATGCCACAGTGGGGAGGCTCACGGCATCATTCTTGCTGTGGGCTGGGTCCACAGCAGATGCTCTAGGGTGAGCAGGGACCACTGTTCATTTAGGATGGGAGGTTCCTAGGAATGAGATCTCCTGGATGAGCATTCTGCTTAACAAAAACTTGTTTAAACTTGTCAGATCCCTTCACAATACAGAGAAGCTCACACAGCACTGTATAGGACGTTGGTTTCTTTATTTTTATTTTTTTTTTAATTTTTAAAAATTTTTTACAGGTAATACCATCAGTGCAGATGCTAGTGGTGCAGAGCAGATGTAAACACTCTTCAGCCAAGATCTTGAGAATAGAAAGAATTATACTGGATAAGCTTCAGTGGGATCTTTACACAGCAACACCATTGGATTTCTTAAACATTGTAAGCACTACATTTTGCAATGTTTTTTCTTTAAAAAAAACAAATAAGACTAAAATCCTTATCAAATAAGACTAAAAAACACAGATACGCACACACACACCCACATATCCTTCCCAAGATGCTTGGCAAACTACCTATTCCTATGTATCTTCAAGCCTTTTAAAGAATATTACAGTAATTATATTTTAATTTTTTTAAAATTTCTACTATTTAAAACCTTCTCTTTTGCTCAAAAAAATTTACTCTCATCTTTAAAGGACAACTGAATGGACATTAAAAAGATTCTCATAATGCACAACCATATGCCTTCTTTTTTTTTTAAATACAAGCTGCAAAAATATTTCTAACTATTTCCCTTCTATCAATACTGTATATAGAAAGCTGTCAGAGTTTTGCTACATTTCACATACAGGGTTTTTTTTAAACTATTTTCCTTTCATCCCATTAATTATTAATTTATGCAATGAGACTACCCTGACCTGGCACTTAGTTCACATTGCAGTTACTAAACATTTAATAGAAACAATTCAGTTTTGTCTTCAAGAAATAATCATGTGCTAGTAAGGCAAAATTCATGTGATACGAACACATCCTGGATCCCTATCTTAAGGTCATGTGCAAATATTAAGCCATTTTAGGCTGCTGATTGTGAAAACTGCCTTTCGTAGGTGCTTGTTTCCTTGGTGAATTTAGAGTGCAGTATTACTAGTTTTACTGGATTTGGAGCTGCTGTCCTGAATTGAATCTCCTGGACAGCAATGTAGAAACCTCAGAAATTGTTAGGAAACACAGACCTCATACATTCATTATCACCTCAAAGGAACAGTTCAATGATTGGCAAGTACAAACACAGAACACAAAAAAAAAAAAAAAAGGTGGGGGAAGCCTTCAAGTTTCCTGGTATGAGATGAAATTCATCTGTATTTTTGGATGATGAAATGAAAACATATAAACTTCACTAACCTCTGCTTTTCTTTTTGTATATATATGTGTGTGTGTATATATATATGTACACTTTATCTTCTCTGCAGTTCCATGCCATGGTGATGTCCAGCTGGCCCCATCTCCCACCCAGACTGCCTCAGAGGAATCCTTCCCTCCACGTTGCACTCTTGACCAAGCAGCTGCAGCACTGTATGGCCTGCCACCAACTTGTGCAGTTTAAGGGCTCCACGTTGGCTTTGGTGATCATCACCTTGGAGCTGGAGAGGCAGACTCCTGGTTGGTTTCCTGTTATTATTGATCTGCTAAAAAAAGCACAGGTAGGAAGCAAAATGGCCTTTGGTCACAAATCCTGAAGGCAGGACATGATAAATGAATAAAGCCATGTGTATTTACAGCCAGTATTGCACTTCAGCAGCTCCTGAGACTTGTGTCCTTGTTCTGCCTTTGCTGCAGACCTTTCTGGTGCTAACAGAAGGGAACAAAAGTGCAGTTCAGGGGTGGGACTGGAGAGGGAGATCCCTTTGGCAGGGAAGGGAGGGTTCCAAATTCTTGGCCACAGATTGCCCCCTGCATCTTGAACCAGGAGAGATTCTCTTATGATGGGAAAGTCTGAGAGCACCTAGAAATCTGCCCAGTATCCTCAGCCTCCCTCTCTCTGAACACTGAGAAAATTTTTAAGTACAGTCACATTGCTCTAAAAATATGATCAGTTTGACTTCTAATGATTCAAGACAAATCTGTTTTTTTCTTTTTTTTTAAGCTTTTCCTCAGTTTCATAAAACACACGCCTTTTAAGAGAGCACACTTAGAAGGCTAAAGACCCAGGCTATCAGCTTGCCATCCACCCATTTTAAGGTCTTGAATTTGTCTGAAATAACCTGGCCTCTTACTGTCCCTGCTGCCCGTTGTTTCCTGCAAAGAGGAAGCACTTGCCTATGCTCTCTGTAGTGGAAAGAGTAGTAGTATTTACAAGAGCAGTTATCAGGAGCACCTGGGTGTTTTCCATCAGGATCAACAGCATATTGCTGCAACGCATCTACTGAGGCATGCAGCCTGTGCCTGCCTCCCCATAATTACAAAGTGTCAGGGCAGTGGCCAGACAAGAGAGTCATTTATCCAGAACTTAAAATAAATCTGCATCTTTCTTTACAGGTAAACAGCCCTGAATTCATCCACTGCAAAGAGCTTGTGGATCAAGGGTTATTGTGCTTGCAGCCACTCAATGCTGTTTATATTTTCTATCCCATCAGTCAAACTGTGCAGGGCCATCCCAAGGCAAGGCTACCCTGCCTTACATTACCCTTCTGAATGGAAGAGTTTCCATCAAGGGAGGTTTCAGCACCTTTCACACCTACTACAGCCCAAATTCCTGATCAAACTGAAGAATGCTGTGATGGATTCGGAAACCTGAACAGTGAGGATGGGGAAATTGAGTGCTGGTAAGATGAACACAGGAAGCTCGTGCCTTCAACTGAGCTGCCCCTGTCGTCCCTTACAGCCACCTGAGAAGGACTACGGGAGAATTATTGCCTTCGATGAAGCACCTACAGAACCAGCAGGTCCCAGCAAACAGAATGGCCAGAACAACAGAGCGAAAGTGTCACTGTGCTTCTCAGAGGATAAAGACAACTGGTATTTCCAGTCTATTTTTTATGTCTTTCCTAAGCAGTATGTGCTACCCCTCAGTTTTAAGATTATATAAAGACAGAAAGCTGGGGAGGACTCAGTCACAGTCCTTCAACCCAGGGATCCAGTTGGCAGGCAGCTACAAACTTCATGGAGAACCAAATGCCTCAGAGTTTATTTTTAAAATAGCCATGATGAAGTTTGACAGATTGAGCCTCTCATCCAGCTCATACCATTGTTCTCTCATTAGAGCTAATGTGGCTCAACCCATGGGAGCCTGAACAGGAGGTGCTGTCGAGGAATAGGCAGCCCCCACTGCTGTCTCTGCAAGAGTTCTCAGATGGAACCAAGGTTGTGATTCAGCAGTGAGAAACTTGAATCAAACCTCCAGTTTTCCTTAAGGCCTTACCTTGTAATCCAGGGGTCTGGGATCTGTGCTTTGTCCTGGCTAAACCATTACAAACTCTATCACAGTTCCTATGAAATCTGGGAAATAACTTCTTGTCTACAATCACCCTTGCCTACAATCACCAACCAGCGTGTGCTGGTCAGGGGTTTTAAAATTCATTCTGTCTTACCAGACTAGACAATATAAAATGCTTTAATAATTCCTCTCCACCACTACAACCACATTATTTCTTACAAATTACTAATCTTCATAGCAAAGTGGTTTCACAAAGGTCGGATTAAACCACTCTTGCACTTTCAAAAACCAGCTTCACACATCCTTTTAAAATTAGTGGAGGTTTTGTTTTAAACAATAGGCATTTTTACGTGATTGTTACCCTAGCTTGAGGGTATAATCCAGCCGGTATGGGATGGGTAACAGCACCATACCTGACATCCTGTCACAGAACAGGAGGGGGTTTCATATGGACTGGCACAGGCTAAATACTGAGTAGGTGTCTCATGTAATGACATGGGATAAATAACTTCGAGACAGAGACGGGACAGGAGTAAGGAGATGAGCACCCTCATGCTGCATAACAGCAGAGCTCATCAGTACAAGAAGAAAGTTTCTGGCCTTCTTCCCTTCCTCAATGTCTTATCTTGTAGAAGAGGAATCCCTGAACACCAACCATGCAGTACTTATGTGCTGAACAGCTGCTCACGCTTTCTCAAGTGTTAAATTTGCCAGAGTGAGCTCTGTGTGTGCAGGGAGAAAGCCATGCTGCTCTTTAAATCACCAAGGAAGCACCCAAGTGTTCCAGTAACATCCAGTAATGGAGACTTAGTGCAAATAACCTGTGTAAACGGACATGACTTGAACCAGCAGTGAAAGCCATGGAATTCCCATGAGCCAAGTCAAAGCTACCTCAAGCTGTGGATGCTATGCTGGCGGGGGCGGGGGGGGACACTGCCCAGGCCTGGGATGATGCAAGCAGGATTCAGGGGGCTGGTTTAGACCCCATGAGGTTTGTGAGGTCCCCACATACTCGGGGTCAGGCAGCAGCATGCTTGAGACATGGTATTTATTTATGCTACCAAAGGGAAGGTTTTAATTTCATGGTAGGGCTCTTCCCTGGAGCAGTACCTTCCTTTTCTCTCACAAGCTGTGAATTGACTGTCTAACTTTTGGAAGGAGGTGAGTTGTCTTTTATAGTTTTCACTAAATAAAACAAGCTTGGTCTGCCTGTTCTCTGTGGTCCTGCAATAGCCCAGCTGAAAGGTGATGCCCACACCGATCCCTGCAGAAAACTGGGCTATGTGATGAGCTCTGCTTCTCTCCCATCCCTTTGCCCTATTGTCGCCAGCTGCGTTTACCCGTGGAAATGCCAGCAACAAAGTTGTACAGACAGTAATTAACATGCTGTAAATTACACCACAACAATTGTAATTTCTGTCTTGGCTTCAACAGCCTAAAAATGTCACTTACCTTTGCATTCCTGCCATTGCTCAGAGTGGAGCTTCCTACCCTAAAGAATGAGTTGCCAGGTATAGGAAGGAGCTGCTCTTGCACAGGAGCACTGTGCAGGAACGAGCTTTTTGGATATTGAGAATAACAGCAATCCTTTTTTTCTCACAGAACATGGTCGGAAGCTTTAATACCTTTCCCCTCCCTGTCTGGACAAGTAATAAGTGACAAGATGAACACTCCCCACACACAGCAGTGACAGGAACAATTATTTTGCCCAGTGAGTTTCAGAGCAGATGACATGTCAACTGTGTGCCTGCCTGTTTGGACTGTGTGTACAATATGAGTTTATTCCAGCTTCAGCTCAACTCACCACTGCAGATCCCATTTGCTACACACCAGTTACTGGTGAAAATGTGCCAGATTCAGTGAGTGCTGGCACAGGTCTGATGTAGTTATGGCTAGCTCTGTGAGGATTGTTGTTTTGGGGTGAATCATGGTTTTAAAAAGTTAAGATTTTTGCTAAGAGTAGAAGTAGTTTCCATGACCAAGATGTAAGTTAGGTAGGTAAATGGTAAGTTAATAATTAGTAGATGCTTAGGCTAGAGCTAATTGGTGTAATTATCTGCTATTATAAATTTACGTACAGAAGAACGTAAAATAAGTAAACTGCTAAGCATGAAGCACGGAGCCTTGGATCGTGCCAGAGGGTCTCCGAGACCTGATGAAGACTCTCCTGACTTCATCCTTCGAGACCACTGACCCATTTCGAGACCACCGACCCAATTCAAGAGAAGAGCTGCGCACGCGTGAAGGACTAATGGGCTCATTTTAATATGGGATGGGGATGGGAGGTGCTGGGGTAATGCATATGTATTGTATGTAAGATCTTGGGGAATAAATAGAGGGCAAAGAACCTTGTTTGGGGTGGTCACGCCTTTCGGAGGTGACTCCCGTGCTGCCCGCCGGTGAATAAACATACCACTTTCTAACTTTAATTAGTTAGAGGGTCTTTGTCCGTGATTATACCAGGTTTTTTCCTAATGATTCAGGGGAATATTCACTCTCAGGAAAACTACAGAGAATGCTAATAGAGTATTTTCAAAGAGGTCTGACTCAGTAAGGTCCCTTCCCTTGGAATCCCTTGGGAGATCTCAGCCCAGGTGAGGCATACCTCTCAAACCCAGGCTCTTATTGCCTCAATTCAGGCCAGATTTCCAGATGGCCGTAGCGACCACCACCTTGTAAACAAGGCTGCAATTACACCTGAAATCCCCTATGGTAAGCACCTACAGAACAGTTTTCTGTGTCTGTTTTAAAACATGTACATAAACAGCAAAGTACTTCAGATCCTACCATCCACCACAATGTCCCCCAATCATAAGCCCCAGCTAAAGGAATCACGTCACAGCTCATGCAGTAGCCCCGGAACCATTACAGGTGAGGAGGGAGCTGCCTCATTTCAGACAGCACTCACTGGGGTGCTTCTGACAATAAACCTGCCTCAGTGTCACTAACTGTGGAGGATGTGTGATGATATAGGAGAAGAGTTCATTTACACAGTTGAACAAATACAGAAAACTCCTGTGGTCAGAGAATTGACCAAAAGACAAGAACACTGCAAAGGGAAGAGTAATGCAATAGTTATACCTTATTTGTGGAATTGCATCTATACAACTCCAGTTGTACAATAACTGTGAACAGTTATTGGGTTTTGTCTCCTGCTAAATTACTTTAGTGTATTAAATTCAACTTGAGCAGTACTTACAGTTCAATTCTTTAAGAAGGCAGAAAAGTGCACTGAGATGGAGAGATAGATTAATTTCTGACAGGTCTCAGAGCCCCCTCCCATTCCTCTTCAGCAAGATGTACAACTAGAATCCCCCTGGTGATCTAACTATGGTTAGGACAAACAGAACTTTATTTGATTAAGATTTGAAAAAGTGAAAGCGGTGCAATTTGGAAAAAGAACAAAAAGCTTCTAGTCCCAATTCACCTATCCTGCTGGGAATCTAACTTGACAAAAGCTCCAAGGTGGATGAAAGCCTTGCCAAAGGAATTAGAGTGGCTGGCCTCAAAAGAGAACACAAGCAAATTTAAAACAGTGATCAGGACAGCAGCAAAGGCTGTATCATAGCTCAGCCTGATGGTCACACACAGCTTCAGCTTTCCCACATTCCGTGCACAGACATGAAGACAGATAGAGCCCTCCTAAGCAGAGTTCCAGCTCTGAATTCACGGCCCCCAAGACACAGCTGTGTCATATCCTGGTGCTTCCCAGCTGATCTCACTTCCCCTGACACAACTGGTGCCTCATCCCTGCCCACTGTGGCAGAAGGGACAGTCAGGGATGAAGAACATGGGGCGAACATGTTTGTCATGGGGTTTCATCCCTAATGCCTGCAAGTGGCAGGAGTCTCCGTATGTCCAGTTTAGTCATTTTCAGGCCACATAGTTTTTACAACTGCAATCTATTTCCCAGTTCTAATTTAGGCTAAGGGAAGCCCAGAGGGTTTAGAGACTGTCACTTATCACATACCCTAGGGACAGGCACTTAGTGCCTGGGGCAGTCAGTACCTCTACACCAACCTCACTATCTCTTGGGGCATTACAGAGACACAATGTCCTCCGTGGGAGCCTTGGGGGGGCTCCTGTAACATACACCCACACTCCCGGTTCCCAGCCTTTGTTCCACTTTGGTCACACCACCCAGCATGAAGTAGGGAGCACAGGGTGAGACTTCTTCAAACCTCCTGCCAAAGACTGGCTTTTGGCCACTCCTATCCTCCCAGCCTCAGGGCAGTGGGGAAAGCATCAGCCAGGGAAAAAGAGAGGGAGTCTGGGGATAGCAGCTAGTAAGACATAGAGTGCATAGGTGACATCACACTTTAATTACAGGGCAACAGGGTTAATGAGGGGAAACTGGGATCACAGAGGGTTGTGAATTTCGACAGAGGACATTGTTCTGGTTACACTTGGTGTACAAACCATGGTTTTAACAGATGTTTGTTAAACATGCCAGTTTTGTTTTTATTAGACCCAGCTTTGGTACAGGTCATTCCTGAGATTCATTTACAAGGTTGTTTAAAACAAAGATAAACTCTTTAAACAAAGATAAAAAAGCGGGCCTCTCCCTGTTCCTGTATGAAGTTACTGGGGCACAGACAACACACTTCGTTTTTCCCCTTTCCTTTTTTTAGAAAAAGTATTTGTGTAAGGGGAAGCCAGTCTGTTACAAACACAGAACTTACACCAGGAACACCGAGTCTCTAGCTTTAAACCATTTCCCCTCCTTAATAAATAACTCTTAGTTGCACTTTAAAATGGTTCCCTTCTCACCCTTCATGTACCAGCAGGACGAGCAGAGCCTGTACTGGCTAGGCAAGATTACCTGGCCCTGAAGCAGCAGGTGGGAGGTGGGCAAGGAGCTCTGGGGAAGAGGTTATGGTGTGAGGCACCACGTACAGCCCTCAGAAAACTAAAGAAATGAAGGTTGGAGCATTTTGGTTATAAAACCTGTAAGTACATAGAAGCAAGCTGCACAAAGAGTTATTGTTATGAAAGGTGAGAATCCAGCTGAAAGATGAGATGTCAAACTAGGGGATGTCAGGTTAGGGACATCAGGTTCCCCAGTTACACTCCAAAACCAGACTGAGGAGAGGACCTGCAGGACCCTGCTACTGCAGCAACTTGAGCAGCAAAGCTGAAAGCTCCTCACACTACCCCAGCTTTATCCATCACTCTGGAGTCAGTCAGTGTTAACTCCCTTGGGGTAAGAGGCCCAAAATAAGCATTCTGGATTTAGTGCGAGCCGTGCAGCAGCTTGAATTAGCAGTTTACCTTTTGGCAAGTATCTTGGATTTCAACTTTATCAAGAGACCTGATTAAGCAAACTTTTCCCCATCAAAAGGCACGGTGAATTTTAGTCCTTGCTATATATTCTCTTCTGTGCAATACATTGCAAGCTTAAAGGTGTAAGCACCCATTTTCTTCTCCATGAGATGTTTTGGCCTTAATAAATCTTCTAATTAACATATCTTCCTGTTATGGCGTATGCACTGGGAAGACTAAAAAAGCTATAGAAAGAACAAAAGAGAATCAATGTTTAAGTTTCAGTTATTTACATTAAGTAAAGACAGCATGAAAGGTCAAAGCACCAATCTATTGTACAGACATTTGAGTTTAACCCGTTGCAACTCAGAGAAGCTCTCACAGCTGCCAACCTCTTGTTTGGAACTGGTAATCAGAAGATTGATTTAAAATTTTAATGGGAAAAGACTGCTGATGGAACTTGAGAAATCCCAGGTGATGGAGAGCCGCAAGAGCAGCCAACCAGCACACACAGCTGGAGCAGTGGCCTGGCACAGTCCTCGCCTCATTCCATCCCTCACAGCCACACAGTTCTCCCAATGGAACAGCCAAGGACAAGGCTGGGTTTGTCAGGCTGTCTCCTGAAGGAAAAGTACCACCATGTCTCAGGGCCTTGGCCACCGGGCTTCGCCTCTGGAACTGCAAAGCATGGGCAGCACCTACCTCACTGCTGAGCTGCTTTTCTAACAAAGCTATGCATTTCTCCTTCTCCTCAAAGCATCTCTAGGAGCTTTGCACAAATATTAATGAAAGCTCCTAACACTGCTCCTCTAGAAAGACACTTGCCAAAGCACATCACCTGAATTACCAGGTGGCCCATCTTTAAAAGGACCAGCTACTCCACTACCTTTGGTTTCCTGAATTCTGATGTACCTAAATGCACGTGCTTCTCTCTGGTCTTCGAGATTTATCTTTAAAATGTGTTGGGATGGAAAAGGATGTAAACATTTCATATAACCCACTTGGTATCAACTGGCAATTCCCTAAAGCTTTTGCCTAAAAGGTTTCCAGCTGCATATTCTTAAAAAGCTCTGAGAGGCAGCCAGGATCACCAGCCTGGTTTTGCTCTTCAAGCTGGGGCTACAGAAAAACCTCCCACCAGAAGCACTGCTACAGCAAACACTATGCATCAGCCAAACTCCACATTGGCTGTGTCTGAAGTGCAGCACTCATCTCAGTCCAATACCAAATACACCCCAGAAGGACCCAAAGATGAGTGAATGTAACTTGGCGTGTAGCAATGGCCCAGAGAACAGACACTGAGAACAAATCTTTGGGTAAAATTTCAGCAGCTCTCTGAAAGCAGAGCATCGAACTAAAGCTGTGCTCTTCTGTTGACCTTGACCTAAGTGTATAATGTCCTTCTCCAGATAAGGAACACAGCTTTGGATGCACCACCAGAAAACCTCTCCACCTTCGCTCCCTTTTCACCCTATCTTTAAATTCCCTCTTTGGATACCATAAAATCAGCAAAGCTTCTGATATGGCCCCCTGCTCAGTCACCAGATCTCACAAAGGAGATGTACCAACAAGCCTCAAAGCTCTTTCTGCCCAAACATGGATGGCTTTTGCATTAATATCTAAGAATTTCCCCCCAGATTACATAGGAAGTACATTACCACATACTCTGTGATTAACTAGTTGTTAATTAATTAACTAATTATATTCTTGAATGTTCCCAATAGTCATATGACAGCCTGTGACTGGTAAGCTCACAATCACAACACATTATTATTGCGACAGATAATACAGAAAAATAACTAGACTGCACAGAAAATGCACCACTAAATAAATGACACCACAAAACCTCAAAATACATGTGAGATTTAATAAAAGAAAAAAGTACAAAGTGAGTGGAAAGAAAGTAAAAAAAAAAACAAAACAACAAACCATGAACCCCAACACGCTAGGAATGACAAAGCAAAGGGATGCAACATGTCCAGGAGGGCTGTGTCCCCCAGGTCCCCAAGGTGCCTCCATGGCTCCAAACCACCCCCATCTACACCCCTGGGGCAGCCACCTCAGCCAGGCATGACCCCCACTCAGAGACCCACAAAACACAATTTAATTTAGAAAGCAGACAACATACAGGATGATAAATGTTTAAATGATAAAAACATTTATACTTCTTCCCATTAATACCAATCTTTTACAGATAAATGTATAAAACAGCTGAAGGATGTGTAACTGGATGGTTTCAGTAATTTCTGAAGGGTATTTCTTTAACTTTTTCTAGCTTACAAGATTTTAAGTCTTCAGACCAGGTGAGATTAGCATCACAATGTAATTGTAATTTGTTAAGTAAAAATAAGATACAGAATTACCCTACCACAATACTTAAATCTTTTCTCAGCCAAAAGAAAAAAACCAAGTACTTGGGGAAAATATATGACTGAGTCGCCTCGGGGAGATAATGATGTTGAACAAGCAACTACAAGGACAAGGGATGCCCGTCACAACACAAAGTAATATAATAATCATCATAATGAAAACATTGTTTGTTACATTCTGCATGTCTTCTTCAGAAAATGCTGTAAATTTCTCCACAATGCCCATGGATTTGAAGATTTTTACTCTTTGTTATTACAGGAAATAATAATTGATCTCCGATGAGCCAGGACAGAGAGAAATCATTTGCATAGCTATTGCTGGCTGCAGCATGAGATCAGAAGAGAACTATTGATTTGGAACACACTGGTGAGGCAGCTGGATGCACACCAGTACCACCAGTTACTGTTTTATCCCAGCAAAACAATGAACCAAAGAGCACTGCTTGCTCAGGCAATTAGTCCACCACAGTTTCTCTCATAAAAGATTAGTAAAAAATAATTTGCTACATGATTGTAGTCAGAGGCGAGGTGGAATTGTCTTCTTGCATGTAATAAAAGGTGGGGTTCCTTGTACGTGTTTGAGAAAACCACACCAACCCTCCTAACATTTGATAGCTACTTTTTAAAATATGTCTAACCTGAACGCACAGCCTTAAAAATTAAATGTCCAGCTTTCAGACGACTCCCAGCAAGTGCAGAATTTTTATTCTTTCAACAAAAGCCTGTTCTAAAAGGTACCAGTGAGATCTTTGTGAGGTTCTTTTCTACCAAGGTCCACTGGAAAACAGTTTAACACCTGAGCATGTATTTAAGAAGGGGAAAAAAAAGCTGCTTTAATGGAATATGAGTTAAAGAACCTCAGAACCCAGCAAAACGCTGCCCTGTGACAGCCCTGTGACAGCTCAGACCCAGGCCCCGCATCTCCTTCTGCACGGCACATCAGGAATTTACTGACAGCCTAAAGACAAGTCTTTAACAAAAAACGTATGAGAAAAATTATGTAATGTTAATAGCTAAATAAAAACGTACACACTCACAACACTTAGCCAGCCAGTGTTTTTAGAAACTCTAGAGATACTATATGCGGGTTAATAGAAAATATTTCTTTTCATTAAGCCTAGGTAGGATCTGATGGATGGATGGATATGGGTCCAACTATTTTTCCATGACAACACAGCTAGTTAACTCTCCGTTCAGTTATTGCTCTGCCTATACACAAAATGGTTTGAGTGGAAAAAATAATAATAATATTAATCCTAATTATTCCTCTAAGCTCAGCTGCCCAGTAAAACAAAGCTGTGATTTCGAGGCATGAGGAGTTGTCAAAAGAAGCACCTTCTAAGAGGAACAGAGCCTGTCATCCTAAATACAGTGCACAGCTCAAGAGCAGGAGACTCCTTATTAGGCACATATCAGGTTTAAGATTAAAAAGTAAAGATGTTGGCTTAAATAATTTACACAACAGTAAACAGTAAATACATTGGTAAGTGACAACTGAAATGTTACAAAATCCTGCAGTTCCATTTCATACAACAAGCTCTTATGAAAAACCTCTCTATAAATGTTCTAGTTTAGCAGTAAAGAAAATTCAAAACATTGTCCCCATTATTGTTATTAATCACTCTCTCTCTCTCTCCTTTTATATATATATATATATATATAAAATAAATGATGTAGATAGTGTGAAGAGTAATTCAGGAATTAATACAGAATTACTGGAATGGGGGTTACTCTGACTAAGATTCCTGCAGAAAGCCTAAATGTTGTGGTTTTCTACCCATTCTAAAAACTTACTTTAGAATTTTGTTAGAAAAACAAACATTTCAGCATTCTTCAGACCACTCCTCTCACTCTGCATGTACAGGGGAGGTCAATGAGCCTCCAGCAGTCATCTTGGCCAATTAAAAAAAAAAAATGTAGAAAGCAATTATTTAGCTGGGTAAGACAAGTTCAGTTCTGGTCAATTCATACGCAGCTGCTCAATCAATGGGTTTAGAACAAAACATCTTACTTGAGGGATTAGTTGGCTTTGTTAAACAAAATGTACATGTATGGTTACTTCCTGCAAACCTCCTGATAATTCTGAAAAGAAAACAGCAGGTCGGAACACTGCAACCACCGGAGATGCTCATTTTCTCTTTCACTTTGGTCCACTCACACAATGTTATGAGAAGGATCACTCAGGGTAGGAAACTCAAGCAACTTAAGACATGAAAGCACCAAGTCCACTCTTGGCTTGAAAGTCTGTGTGAGATTAACTGAAAGAAACAAAACATAAAAAAGCATAAATTAAAGTTATGAAAATCAAACAAACGTGAAGTATGTTAAAATAAAAAAAGGAGGAGGACAAACAGTGCTGGGGCAGCTGAAGGCTTCAGGTGAGAACAGCCTGGCACAACCTGCTCAGCACCACAAACACTTCTCTTTCCCCCAACTTCTGCAATTCTTCTGTTAAAAAAATCACAATTTTTTCCTTATTAAAGCTACTAAGAACACTGTCTTGAACCAGGAGATGATAGAGTTCAACTAACTCTCCTAGAAATTTTACTTGAGCAGTAATCGCAAAACCCCATATTTTGAGCTAGCTCACAGGTTTGAAAAGAAAAAAACAACCAAAAAATAAAAATAAAATAAAATAAAATTCCAAAACCATTCTGCCGATGGTACACCTCCTCTACCTGTGCTCCAGAGCTAGAGCCTCCCTGCCCCAGCACCATACAGGGTCCCCCAGTGTGCAAGAGCACAAGCTGTGGGTGCCCTTCAGACCTTTGTACGCCACCAAGCTGCATCCCAGTCCTGCTCCTGACCATGCCTCGTTTCTTTTGCTACCCAGAAGAGCAACGGTCCGGACTCACATCTGCAGGTGGGCTAAATTCAGCAAAGTGCAAGAAAAACTTTTCTGTTGCAGCCAGAAGGAGCAGAGGGGAAGCTGCAGCATTTCTTGGCCCATGTTCACAGTCCATCCCTGCTGCTGGGATCACTCACACAAGTTACCATTGTGCTCACTGTTGCATTTCCGAGACTTCTTTCAACTTTGTTAAACAAAAAACGAGGAGATGTTGCATTTCCGAGATGCATTGTAAATGGTACATTCCGTGACCCCTGCTATGCCCTGTAGCTTGGTCCCTCTCCCCTCCTGGCCATACAGGGCTGGCTGGGATCCAATTTCTCCCCGCCCCCCTTTTCAGACCCTAGAAAAGACCTGTACCCCCTGTCCTCGCTCTCTTTTCCTCGCTACCCACAAGAAATAAACCCTGCAACTTCATCAGGGGAAAGAGCCTCTTTTGTTATCTTATTTACATCCATGTGGCAAGGGCGTGGGAGGCTTCACCCTAACAGCTGAGCTAGACCGGAGGAAAGGGTGAAGATCCCATTTAGGGCCAGAAAAAGCCACAGCTCACCTTCCCTAATGCAGTCCCACACCCAAGAAAGCCCTAGGATTCAGCTCTCAATTCAGATTAAAGCCTATTTTCAGCAAAGTATTTTACAAACCATTTAGACTCTGTGTGTGAGACGGGCCATGCCCAGACCATGTCGAGCAGTCTGCAGAAGAGAAAGCTTTGGTTTTAGCACCAACACATTTACATGTCAATGAAATACTCAAATAATCTACTCCGTTATCTTCCACAGGTCCTCTGGTACTGCAGTTCACAACTGGGAAATGACAGACCACAAGATCTCATCAGCAGTGAGAAGATGAATGCCGTGCTCTCAAGCACAAACTTGAGTGTTGCTACCCTTCATGGTCTTTTTTTCTTGCCATTATTAAGAGGCTCAGAAAGCCTTGACATCGGCCTGCTCTGAGTTTGATAGAATGCAGTCCTAACTCTTGAGCTTCTTCATGCAAGGGAAAGTAACAAAAAATGTTGCAATAGCAGAATTGCCAGTTTGCATGACAGTGCTCCTTATTTTGCTCCCTAGAGAATGGCTTGAATTGGAAGCAGGATAACCCCCCGCAACGTATTTTCTTTGTAAACCTGTTTGTCCCACTCCTGGTCTATCATTACACAATCAGGGGGCTGGAACAGCAATATTTACATACCCTTGCTCCTGCTGGCTTCAGCAATGTCAATTAATGTGCAGCAAGCTAAGAAAAGAACTCTGCCTTTAAGTGAAAAGAATTTTCTTTTAATCAGAACTGTGTCTTGGAGCCCCATTTCACAACTTGACTTGGCTGTCACAGACGCAAGAGTGAATTCCATGTGACCATCAGCCTTTAGAGAATGGCCCCAAATTGCAAATCCCTCCCACCTGCCCAGGCTCCTCTGGGCAGTGCTCGGGAACAGGAGGAGCTCATCTCTCCTCTGCTTTAAGAAAAGAATCAGAAGGATGGGAATTAGGATTCCAAAATCCCCTTTTCTGTATGATGTTTAAACAACTGACCAAACATTAAAGCATCTGAGCAGACTCCCAGCTTTCCAGTGGCAGAGGAGGAAGACTCCATTCAGACACTTACTTTTTCTTGTCTTTGTCCTTCTTCAATGGCTGCTGTAAGGTAGCCTGCAAGGATTGGGACTGCAAGGTTTCCACTGCGACCTTCCGCCTGTTGAAGGCGTTCATCTCTTCCTCCAGCTCCCTCCTTTTCTCCTCCACCTTCCTTTTCTCTTCCTGGTGTATCCTTTTTAAATGCTCAAACTTCTCATGCAGCTGGTAGGAGACAGACCCTCTGACCATCACATTTACCTTGTTTTGGATGTGCTAACCCTTTCCCAGGAGCCCTGTCACACCTCCCACACAAATCTCCACCACAGGGACCAATCTGCAGGCAGAATACAGCACTCAGTTCCCACCAAAAGCGGGGAAGACATAATAAATTCAGCTCTGCTTGACACCACACAGCAAACCAGAGGCAGCATGAGCCCTGGAGATGAGTACAAGGGAATTTGGCTCAGCCTGCACATGGGCTGGGGACATTGCAGGGTCTTTTGTTCCTCACTAGTTCTGAGGATGGTCCATTTAATTCCTTCCCAGTCACAGCTGCTTCCTTAGGCCTCACACTGGGAACTCCACTAGACTCTGGGGACCCCAGCCCAGCTGCTCCCTTTACTCTGCTGTCCAGTGAGCCACAAGACAGAAGTCTCTCTGACAAGGATGCTCACCTAAACTTCCTGCCACTGGCTTTCACTCCCCAGACAGCAGCCATATTTCCACGTTGCACAGAATAGGGAAGACTAGTTTCCAAGGCACCTAAACCAGTGATGTGTTTGTGCCTTGGCTGGTGAGGTTTGCTGGAATGTACTTTCCAGGATTCATGCATTGCCCAGACCCAGATTCCCTGCTGGCTGTAGTTTGGGTTCCTCGCAAATTTTTGGCACACTCACCTCTCTCTCCTTCTCCTTCAGCTCTGCCTCTGTCTCTTTGACTTTGTTTACAAACATTTGTCTCATTTCTTCCTCTTTCCTCTGGAGTTCACCCAAGAACTCTTTCCTTTTGGTCTCGTATGTTTCTTGGAGGCTAGGGAAAAAAGCAAATGAAATCTAGATTCTCTGGACACTGATGAGTTAGTGATGGGGAAATACATGCGGGTCTGTGCTGTTTTTCTAAACAGCAGGCAGGGAAAGTAACATCCAAATCAGCTGCAAAGTTCAAACCCAGTGCCGGTATTTTCCAGCCCAGCACTATAGATTTCATGTACAAATCTCCCATTTTTTGAGGCTGTCAGTACCAAACTCTCACTCTAAATTGATGCTTGATGCGAAGGCCACTCACCTGAAGGGCTGGTTGTCTGGATCCGTGTCCTTGAAACCCATCTCCTCCAATTTGCACCTCCGATAGAGCTCGTAGTGGCGGGTGTGGGTCTGCTCCCGCAGATCCTCCATGTTGACCCGAATCAGCATTTCCCGCAGCTTCACAAAGTCACAGTGACTTTCATTCTCCACTGATAGAAGTGAAGGGACAAGTCAGCAAACTGCGGTATGGTGGGGAAACTCAAGGGCACATATGATTGACTCCAGATACTCGCATCCTGAGGAGCCTCTTGCCCTGCTCAGGGCACAATACAACCCCTCAGATGCAGGGATTCCTGTCGACCTTCCTACCTGCTGGTAGGAAGGGAAATTCCAAGGAAAGACTAGCCAACCCACAAAAGGCTGCAGGGGACATGCCTGCACCACTTACCATGGGGCACCTTCATGCAGAGGTGCTGGTGGAGGACAGAGATGGGGAGGTGTCAGGGTTTGCCTGAGCACACATAGGGAGGTTTGGGGTGGGCTTGTGGCCCCTCACCTTGCACCACTCCCCATGGGTACTGCCGAGCTCGCACCAGCTTGTTCCCAACTTTCACCTCCTCCGTGCTACCGACCACAGCAAAGGGCAGATGAGCCTGAAACAGAGCCAAGGGCAGGGGCTCAGTGCTTGGGGTAACCCCTCAGAGCTTAGCCTGACCCTTAGCTCCCCCTCATCCAGGAGCTGCTTCCATGAGTCCCTTCTTTGAACTTACCAATTTCTGATATTCAGAGCAATCTCTACTATACTGGGATATCACTAGCCCACAGCATAGCTTACCAGCAATGCTGTCTGGGCTGCACCAGCTGGAGAATATTGTAGGAAGATCGTGGTCATTACTGCTCTACTCTATCCCTCTGTCAGTCTGTACACAGCAGCAGTGAGGCACTCCCTGCCTTGCTCAAAGCACAGGCAGGGACATCCACAAACAGGCCTTGGCACAGCAAGTGTGTGGGCACTGCAAGGGACATGTGCAGGATACAACATGTACTTGCTACTCTCCAAGTTTGCAAAGCATCAGGCACCCAGAGGAAACAGGAAACCCTCCTTGAGATAGCAAGGAAGGAGCCACTGAGTGGGTGCTTCAGTAGGATGAAGCTGACAAAATCCTTCACATTTAAAAAGAAATGGATCCAGAAGTCTAGTGATGAGTAGAACTCGTGGAGAAGTGGCCAAATATATTTTCACTGGAGGAAGGAAGGGGAAAAAAAGAAAGCCAAGCAAGCAAGCATGACTCCTGTTTTTCTCCTCAATACACACAGCTTGCAATTATTTAAATAAGAGTGAATCCTCAAAATTTTTAATGATTTCAGCAAAAAAAAAAACCTATTATGGTGAAAACAAAACATCCAGAAACCAACTGGTAACTGAATTAAAAACAAAATAGTAGGAGGAAGGGTGAAAGAAAAGGCAAAGCATTTAATCAGAAACAGCTATGCAGGAAATCGTTCATTTTGATGAAAAAGCTACTTTTCATTTATAAAATTAACATGGAAACATTTCTGTTGTTTTTACTGCCATAGCTGCACTCTGATTTGGGAGACAGGAAGCTTGAAAGTGTTTTTGCATGTGCTTCAGTCAGGTCTGAATTGGATCCCTGAATTTCAAAAAAGACAAAACAGAGATTAAAAATTTTTCTTCTTTATTTTAAATTGGGTTTTCTCTGGTCAGCCTCCTTAAGTCACAAGACTAATGTAAATCTTAACTGTTATATTTTATTCAAAGTTTCTTCTTCCTCAAATGCAAAGTAGCCTAAAAACAGACAGAAATAATTTTGAGGAAAGTGTTTTTCAAAAATTCAATAAAACAAATTCTAGAGCTAAATTTCTCCAGAGATCCCCCAGATTAAAGATGAGACACATTTTAATTAATTCTGTATGCAACAGCCTTTAGCATCTGTGAGACCCACAGCAAAGCTTTCCAACAGATACAGTGTCTGGACATTCCCAATAAAACTCGCCCTTCAAATGTGTTTTTGTGCAGCAATTTAATTTGTCACAACTTTCAGCAGCAATGGAACTGGCAGCATTACCCACATTCATCACAGAGTTGATCTCAGCCACTGCCTCATCGTCCGTGGGGAACTGATAGATCTGCACTCCATTGCTGACCAGCTCACTCATAATCTTGATCTTGAACTTGTGCAGCTCACTCTTGGAGATAGTGTCTGCTTTGGCAATAATTGGGATAATGTTCACCTAGAGTAGAAGGGAGGAAGAAAGGACAAACACTCAGGTGAGCAGCAGCTGGGTGAGCAGCTGTGTCAAGCCCGGGGCCGATCCAGATCCTGCCCTACTGGCTATTTTACATCTCCTAAAATCACCTCGGAGCTCTATTTACACAGGAGCTGCAGCCCAGCTCAGGTGAACACTAGCGGGAAGAGTTTTCCAGGACTCATTTGGCTATAAGACTTCAGACAAACCACACACCCCACATTAAGTACACAAGGCCCCAATCAAAGCCCACTCTCTCACCTATGTATTTTGTTACAGACCTCGAGGGAAACAGACACAGTGTAGCTCTGTCATCCGAGCTCACTCCAGCTGTCACCACCCATCCACTCTGGCTATGCTGAGATATTTTACAAGACAAGCACAAGGATGAAACGTGCTGATGTGAAGCCTTCCCATGCTCAGGTACAAAGAGCAGGGACTCCTCAGATGCTCTGACAGCAGCTAATGATCCTCTTCAAGGACTCCATGAGCCTCTTGGTGAAGATCACATCTTGGGTGTGCCATGCGGATTATATGGAGAAAGCGAAGGGCGCCATACAGCAGACGTATTTATTTTCATGCTGTTCTTGCTCACCTTTGGTTTCACATGAGCAAACAGTCACTATACCCCCACACAATTTCATCCACCTGGGCTTCAAAGCCACCCACAAGCTGCACAGTGGGGAGGTCTCCCTGTGTTCCAGTACCCACCATGATCAAAAGTACACAAGGGCCACATCCCACATCCATCAGGAGAGATGGGGCCTATTATGGCCTCATGCTTAAGAGAGCTAAAGTGGGGCTGGATCTATCACAGGAAACTGCGCTAGATAATGCTGATGTGCCCAGAAAAGCCAAGTGTGATGCTGCCAACCACTGCTTAAACAAACAGCAGAACTTGTCTGTCTGAACAGCAGGCAAATTCATAGCAGTGAAACACAAGAATTTAAACAAATAAGGGAAAGTCTGATTTGCCATCTAACATTTCCCAACAGCCAACGCTTCTTGTCCTACAGAGCTGAAATTCAGAACAACTAGTTGTTCTCCAGTGGGTGCCCATTAAAACAAATGGCTTTGCTTTCCCAGCACAAGTTCTTTGTAGCTCAGTGTTTTTTCCATACTTCTTGGGTTCCCCTTGCACCACCGCTCCCCCTCCCCTGTTCTCTGTTTAGTGGTTTAGCACTGACTAAACATAAGAGCATTTATTTACTTTGAACGAAAATAGTCTAAATTTGCTCATTGCAAATATATCTGAGAGAATAACTTCCTCTTTTTCTCAGCCACTGACCCGGACTCTTTTACCAAGGACCACAGCCCTCCCACAGAAAAAGGCCTGCTGCTCACTCCACTGCTCAGTAGGTCGATGTCCTCTTGACAAAGGTAAAAGGGCCATGACCACAGCTGGGTGTCTCCCTAACGTGCTAAAAGCTGTGGAGGCTTCACTATCTCTCACAGAAAAAGGGTCAGCTCAGGGCTCACATCCCTTTTCAATCGGCCTGAGCAACTTCCACTTCTTTTTCCAAAGGGCACCAGTTCAGCCCTGCTTACAGCAACACAGGAGGTGCAGAGCCTGGAACCTGGTGTACCTTCCTAGCAGCAGAAGAGACAGGCTCTGTGGTCACCACCGTGGTTGCAGCACTACTCAAAAAAAGTGCAAACCAAGGCTGGTTCGAGTGCCCTCAACCGCATTTCTTGTATTTTGAAAAGGCAACTCAGTAAACATTTGCTGACACAAAGTTCACAATACAAAGGGGTTTTACAAATTGTGTTTCCAATAATCAATAGTCACATCAATGCTGGGGAGGCATGGATATGGCATTTTAGTGTAGTTCTAAGGCTAGAATGGGTTCATTCCTTCACAATACAGAGAAAGGATGGAACAGTTTGGAAACAAAAAACCAACAAGATATGAGATACTACTGAACTGAAAGTCTTATCCTATCTCCCCGCAGCACCTTCCACATATTCATCTCCATGCAAAGGCCAAGTCTGTGGCACAGAGATTAGTGACAAACTGATATATATGCAGCTAGAGAAGAAAAGTCACCTCTGCTCCTGAACAGGTTTTAAAATCCCAATAAAAGGAAGGAATGCTAGAACTACACAAGGGTTCTCTCTCTACTCTTTTTACACAAATAATGTTGGTCTTGGGTTGAAGGCAAAATCCTACAGCAACATCCTTGCATCTCATGGTAGAAGAGCAATATTCTCTATTTGAAGATCTAGTAATAAAATCATGCAGTTGACTACTGGCATATCACCCCACTGAATGTGACAGAGGTTCAGTGTCCCCTTGCCTGTCAGTCCATGTGCTGGAGGGCTTTATTGGAGCTGGAATTATGACCAGAGGAAGTCAGTGCTTCAGACAGGACAGGGAACTCCTGCATACACAGACAAAAATGCACCTCCTTCTCAAGTCTTTCTGACCAGAGTTGCTTCTCATCTTCAAAAAATAAAACTTGTAAGAACTTGTAATTTGGTAGAAAATAATTTTGCTGATCCAATAAGACTGCAGGCACTTCTGTCCTGTGAAATACAGCTGAATTTCTCCCCATCTCCACTGAATGCAAGTTGCAGTGAAGCCAACAGGCAAATCCTACTTCAGAAACCAAAGAGCTGAGGCACAGACTGCCTGAAGCATTCCCACCTGTCTAGGATGTGTCATCTCTTGGAGAGCAGGCAGTTAGCTGCAGCTCAAACAGCATATGCTGACTGAAAACCATCCAGGGACAAGCAGCAGGCCCCAGGGCCCTTATGGCGGCACACACTGTGCCAGCACTTCCCATGACAGGGCTGGGTTTTAAATCAATAAATCACCTTCTTATCTGATACAAATGCACTATTATTTATCTCCTGCTTTTCCCAGGTTAAACCCAGTGGAAACTCTGTACCTGTCAGGTCCTATGTGCTTCCCACTAGCAGCCAGGCAGCCAGCCAAATTCCATCTACCTACAACTACTTCTGAAGATGCTTCTGCTCTCTAGCTGTAACTAAACACCCCAGATAACAGCTGGCCATGAACTCAGCCAAACAGATATTGTCTTATAATGCAACAGAAAATTTTGTTTCCAAGCAACTTTACCCAGAAGCGATTTCATAAACTTTACACTAAAAGCAAGACCGGTTATTGAAATTGTCACAGAGAGTCAAAAGCCTGCCCAGCACAACAGATCATGCCACTTGTGGGCTAAAGCAAAGATGGAACTGAGCCATAGTCCTACAAACTCCCTGATAAACTAGTCTCAGAGGCTGAGCAAGCAAAGCACAGAGCAAAGCATTGTCTCTGATGTACCTTACATCTCCACAGGCTCCATTCTTCAACTGTAAAACAAGGGCCACACAAAGCTCTCCAAGAAGAGTGGCAGGTTCAGGTGTGCTCACACAGCAACAGACATGAGCTAATGCGCATCACCTCTGCTCAGTAACCACTCGCTGCTCCCGTCTGGAGAGCGCAGAACTGCCTGGGCTTTGCTGACACCTTGATTCACTCTGCCCACACACCAACCCCCAGCACAAATGGTTCATTTGTAATGGGAAAGGGGCACTGCACTGCCGCGCACAAACTCTCAGGGAGTGCCTGGAAAGCACCCTGATGTCCTGGGATGACACCGGTGCAGAAATGCAACATAAATCCCTGATGCCCAGAAACTATCAATGGGCTCCACTTGCTTATTCATTTCCACGTTCCCACTTGTGTACATGAGGCCACGACAGCATGAAATCCAGGATGTTCTCATGCTGGGGCAAGAAGGGCAATGAGAACAAAGGCATAAAATTACTCCAGAGAGGGCTATTAAAGTGGAAGTTTGGAAATATAAAAAGTTTACCTGCGCACAAAGTTTTCATCTGTACACAAGTACAAAGGATTTATTTTGGTACTACGAAAGGATCACATTAAAGGCAACCACAAGGAGATGTGAAAAGTAGGAAATGAGAAGGAAAGGAGAGAAATGCTTTGTAGGACCACCAGCACCAAGGGGAACAGTGCAAAAGCTTCCCTCCAAAAATACTTCTGGGAATATGTAACGCTCCGTACCAAGCGACAAAAGTTTATTAAGGGAAAGTTTTCAGATTCCTGATGAAGTCAGTGTAACAGTCGTTAAAGCTACAAACAGCCCACTGCAATGGAAAGCCAGTTCTTGCTTTGCCAAGGAAAAGAAGGCCATGAACCCTAGGTGGTAAGGGCAAGCAGCAGGGACTTCACAGGGGGAACTCAACCCACCAGGAAAGTCCAACAGAGCTGCACATGAACAACAGCTAGGAAAGAGTGCTCCCTCAGTGTAATCCAGGGGATCCACAGGTCCTGCAGGGTCCCACCTGCCATGCCTGTCCCTCTGTAGGCTGAACAGGATCTGCCACCTGAAAGGAACCACCCTGTTGCTAAAACACTTCTCTGAAAGACCGGAAATTATTGAGAAGAGATTCTGCTGCCACTAGTGACCTTTGAAGCCTCCTGCAGCTCCCTGGAAGCCATCTGGAACACTTAAAACTATGTCAGAAACTTGTTCCCAGCTGCAGGAATATAAGCAAGTAGTTGGTTAGGTAACACCCTGCCCCCTAAGGCTTATGCACAAAGAAACAACCCCAGTAGACCCTCTCATGACCCACTTTTAGGATTCCTATGACCTTGAGAATTCCTTACCATATCTACACTTTAAGAAGATACTGAAGATCTCCTATCCAGATCACTTGGAACTGCCAGCAGTGACAACTCGCACACTCCCTGTGCACCAGCACACACAGCCAAGGCTTCTGCTCAGCCCTTGTCTCCTCAGCACTGAACACCACCTTAGGACAACCACAGTTCTGGTGGCTCTCAGCCCCTCTCTCCCTGCTGACAGGTCAGGATAGCAAAGGTGACTCCACAATTTGACTGCTGAAGCTGGAAGGCATCCTCACCTGCACACCCAATAGAGCTGCAGCTGACAGCTTTGATAAATATCAGTTAATCTGGGTAAATTCTTACAATAGAGGGACACTCTGGAATTTACAACCAACTGGAAAACAGACTTTTCCTGACATTCTTCAATAAAGTCACTGAGAAAAGCACAGGACCTCAGCAACCAGGAGGCCATACAAAGCTTTACCAGAGTCCTAAGAATGGCTCAGCTGCCATGCAGGAAGGAGTCCAGCATTTATTTGCACAGAAGGAACAAAACCTTTCACATGACAATCAGTACCAACAGAAACAGTTCAGAAAGAGGTACAACAGTCTCCAACCCCCTACCTTGCTATCCAGCTTCTTCATTGTCACCAGGTCCAAGGACTTGAGAGAGTGCCCAGTGGGGGTGATGAAGTAGAGGCAGACGTGAATCCTTGTGTCATGGTAGTTGAAGAGAGACCGGCGGATTTTCAGCTCTTCTTGCAAATAGTTTTCAAACTGCGTATCAATGTACTCTACGATTGGCCTGTAACTAAAACCATCCCATTAGCAAACCAGCTACTGGAGCACAAATCTAAACTGTCCAAAGGCTGAAAGAATCCTCCTAGACATTCCATGATATCACTTAAAAACAAATTTTAAGACTCAAACAATTTAGCTTTTCAACGGGAAAAGTGTAGTGTTTACACACAGACCTTATAATCCAAAGGTTGCTGGAGATTCTTGAGGCTGCACTGCAAAGTCTAAGGACAGTGGAGCACAGAAAGATGATTACTTCCCCGTATCAAACTTTGCCCGGATTTCAGGGCTCAGCCATCTGTCTGTAGCAATGCAACATGACCAAGGAGACACCTTGGAATCCCAGAAAGCCTCTACCTGGGGCTTGAAGATATCAGTGTAGTTAAATGAGAAGTTCAGAATGGATAATTCCTGACCCTGCTCTGAGGACAGCTGGTTAACAGCTCATGCCCCTGGAGGACAGCAATCTCTGCTGGAAAGACCTCCTGTGATCTTTTTTTTTGGCTGTTCACCCATTTCCCTCTACCCTTTGTCCCCAGAACCAGAGCCATTACAGGCAGCAACTCCTTTAACAGAGACACAGACACTTCTGCAGCACTGCAAGGGGAACTGCAGGGAGTTGATGTCTCGTGGTTAGGAATGAGGCAAGCACAGAAATGCCGAGCAGATGGCACAAGACCTGCCTTTCGTCTTTATTTATCTGATCCCCAAATCCAACTGCATCCACAATGGTCAGCTTCAGGTGGACATTGCTTTCCTGCAAGTCATAGGTTCGTGGCCGCAAGCAAACCACGTTCTCGTAGTGACTGGCTTCCTCTGTCTCAAACGTGGTGTTGAAGAGGGTGTTCATCAGCGTGGACTTCCCAATGCCAGTCTCACCTAGGAAGGACAAATCATGAGCTCATTTGCAGCATGAATTTGCCACAGGTACTTCAAAGCACATTAATTAGAGAACTAAGTTACACTGTGGAAGGTCACCACAAACTGCTTGTGGACAGACATGTCACACAGGTGTCTGCCTTCTTGAAGGCTTCCCATGCTTAATGCAAACAACATAGAGCACTTGGGTTTTGTCTCCCGGTATCACACAAAACACACCAGCACAGAAAAGCACGCTACTTTCCATGACCCCTGACTTTGCTGGGGATTCTGCACTAGAGAAGCTATGGAGAGGACAATTTTAGTAGCCATTGAAGGATGTGTCACAAAAACCTCTATCCCAGTACATTTGGCTGACAAGCTGTTTATGAGTCAAGAAAGGCTCTGAACTGCTGTTCCTGGTAACGAAACAAGACTGATTTTTAAACATTGGCCTAGAAGGGGCCTCATTTAAATTCCTTATTCACTACACACAGCCCTATTGGTCATGGGGGTGAAGAGAGGCAAAATCCAAGGAAATAACCTTCTACTCTCTGCTCGTTTCCCAGGCAGTCCATTCTGCTACCGTTCTGCTACCGCTTCAACAGAGACAGGCACTGCTGAGGAGCCCTACAGCAGATACACTGGTTAGAGAGCAGAAAGGTGGGAAAAGTTCTGCTCTACAGAGGTGCCATACCTACTGCCAAGGGCTTTGGAGTCTCTCATTCTTCCAGCACCTCAGGCTCTGCTCTTCCCAGGAGCATAAACACCTCAGAGTGCTCAGAGTGGGGCAGAGGCATGCACTGCTTCCTACCGATTGTGGCTAAGAGTTGTGCAAGGAAATAAAGTCAGCTGGTGCTCTAGATTAATCTGAAAGCAGACATATGAAGAACTCGCTTCCTGATGTAAGCTACATTCTCTTGTTCAGTTGTGGGCACCGTTGGGAGTAGGAACTAGCATACAGGGTAGGGCTTTTCCTCTCTTTTTTAAATTTAAAAAAGCTAAATGAGAATGTAGGAATATCCATGCTGGTACCCAAGAATGACACAAATTAAAAATGTATTGACCTCTGCTGTAATTACCCTTCTGCTAAGAACAAATTCGTGAATTTCAACTGCGATTTCAGCCATACTTTTATTTGTGGTGTGAATATGCAAAAGTCACTTGGGTATGGCTCAGGCACTTTGTGTAAGTTGTCAGGGTGTCACTGCACAGTTTACACAAAGACATAGGAGCTGCTGTCTCTTGATATATTTCTGCTGGTCTAGCAGGTTATAATACTTCAGACTTCATACACCATACAGGGACCAGCCAAAGCAAAAATGATGCTCATCTCATCGCTGAAAGGAGTTGGTCTCTAGTACTCCAGCCAGCATTGCCTCCTAGATCACATCAATACCAAAATTAAAAGCCAAGAATATAATGAAGTGTCAATAAGAAACACTCCCCATCCCTTTCCAAGCACAGAGATGACCATGCTTCATGCCCTCTGACACTTGGGAAAACCCTGACCAAGCACAGCTCAGACACAAACCTCTTGTGCCCAGATTTGGGGTGCAGGCTTACACTCAGAACTGACCAAGTTATCAACAGCAGCTCTCACATAACCCATGGTGCATATGACTACCATACCCAGCAAAAGCTGCTCATGCCAGCCACTTGAGTTTACATATAGAAATACTTAACTTCGTATATACAGCCTTCCTTTGATCCTTTGCTTATTGCAAAGCTACTGCAGCAGAGATGATGAGCAATACCCCAGTGATTAGAGCAATTCTCCTGGTTTGATTCAACGTGTTTTTTAAGAGTTTGATATTTTTGACTTGCTTAAGTCACTGCCAAGGGTTGCGGCATAGCAAGACACTCAAGAAATCCTGGTTCCAACCTCCCCCCATGCCTGTTTGCAGAGGACTGTGCTCACCCACACAGAGGATGTTGAAACTGAAACCTTGTGTGACAGACTTGCTGACCAGCTGATCGGGGAGGCTGTCGAAGCCCACATGGCCCCCCAGGGAAAGGTTCCTCTTCTCTTCATTCTGGCAGGGAGAAAAAGCCATATTAGCAAACTGCACTGAGATGGCAAATGAGACCAAGATCACCCCACCTCCTGGGCACTGCAATACCCAGCAGTGCCCTCAAGAGCTTGTGTTTTGGCACACCACAGCTCAAACCCCCCAACAGTAACCAACAGATGGAAAGGGGCTGTGAAATACCGAACTTCACGGGAATTAGAACTAAGCTACCAGGCTCCAAAGTAAGGAAAACATTAGAGTGAGCTTCAACTACATGCAGCTGGGAGAGATCAGCAAAGGGAAACCCACCACGGTGTGTTTTAGCATTCATTTCTCTTCAACTATTTTTGTATTTTATTTTCTTAAACCCTCCAGCAGCGATTTCAGCTTGACAGACTCTGCATTTTCACCTCAGTACTTGTCTTCCCCCTCTTTGCTATTGCCACAGGCAGAGAGGTTTGTTCACTCAGGCGCTGGGTGTGCCGGTAGCAGAGGCAGGACAAGGTCCCACCCGTCTGTGACCACACAGTTTTCCACCGTTCTTCTTCTGCTCCTGTTCCTTCCTTTCCCGTATGCACTTTGCTCTCCCTTCTGTTTTCCTCCCTCCCCCAGAGAAGCTGATCACCTGCAGAGACTTTGCTTAGGAACTAAGAAAAAAAAAATCCAAGGACACAGCAGCTCTGTGACCTGTGCTATACAGAAAGGCAGAGCAGAGCAGCCATGAAGTCCAGCAAAGAGGAGCTGACAAGGGGTAATTTCTCCTTCTAGTGCTAAAACCATGGAAGTTTGCAATTTCAACAGATGCTCACCTCTTTGTACATGTAAGCAATGATGTCTGAACCCAGGGACCAGACCACTATACCTGGAGCCCCTCAGGCACTCTTACCCACCCACAGAAAAGCAACGAGAATGAATCGTGATTCATTCACCCTCACAATTTCTTTGGTAATTGATTGTTTTTCTCAATCACCAACACACACAGAAGATGGTAATGGAAAAAATATCTGCCCTTGGTTTGGCTCTGGTTCTTTTGTCTGTTCCTGACAACTGGAACTTAGTGTCCCAGCACTAAGACCGAGAGAAAAAAACATTCCTGAGAAGAACCTAAGCTGCCTGTCAAACTTAAATGAAGTCAAGAGGAAAATAAATGACGTGATTAGCCTTGTGTATTGCTCTGTGCCTGTGTAAGATTGCTAAACAAAACACAAACCTTTGTTCAACTGCATCTTGAGTCAAAGCCACCTTTAGCTCTGCCTTTGGTAGAACAAATATTCTCAGACTTGAAAAATAAACCATTTAAATCACAAGAACAACTTGTGAACAGCTGAAACAACTTCCATCCCTCACACACAAACCTTCTGGCTGTTCCACTTAGCATTTTTTACCCACTTTCAGATGATTTTAGCCCAGTGCTCTCCCAAGGGACTCCCTGGACAAAAACACAATTGAACCATAGCTGGGGGCTTCTGTGAACCATCCTATTCTGTCCAATCAGGATCAATCACACTCACTAACTTAGCAGAAAGAGCAATCATTTAAAGTTTCCATGTGTAACTGATGTCAGCAATTAAGGTTTTGAGATGGCCAGAGTTTAGGTGAATTAAAAATAAAAACGACCCCTAAGACAGGGAGATCTCCAAGTATAACTTTCTTCCACTCACCTGTCAGCACAGGGAGATCCTACAGCTTAGACCCCAGGATATCAGGTATTTTAAAAGTGAATCTGTGCTTCTCCAGTCAGCTGAATGCTGAGCTGTGGATCTTGCATGCGCTGGTACAACCACACTGGGAAAAGTAAATTGAGACGCGCGTGTACGTATGCTGTGGGAAAAGACTCAAGAGTTGATTAGGTCTGGTTTTCCCCTTGAGGAAGAGACTGTCACAAGGTGCAGGAAGCCACTGCAGGCACCAGTTGAGTTTAGGGGGCTTCCTCAGGCTCTCAGCCCAATCTCTCAGCTCCCGTTTCTCATCTTCCCCGTGTCCTTCTAGACATGACTATGCAGAGCTTAAAATGCCAGTTCCCACCACTGCAATGCAGTGACAGCCGAGCAAGCTGTTCCCACAGAAAGTCACAGAGTTTGACGGTTACACTTTGTGTCTTTTCATTTTAAATAAACAAAATCAAGCAAACAAAAGCACAAACCAGAAACCTGGAATGACATTTTGGATGGGAAATAAATAAAGGCTGGCGATGGTTACGATTAGGCTGAAAATGCCTGAGACTGGGAGGAGGTTTCCAGGCAACAGGCAGCACCACTGATTTTAAAATAGGTTCCAGCTCAGCAAGGCTGCATTTAAATAGGCTCCAGCCAGGCAAGGGTGCATTGAGAACTCAGTCATGCCTTGGCTGCAGGAAACCCAAATGCACCCACACAGGGCTTTTTCTCTTCTTTTTTTGGCACTCAAGTCGCTGTTCACTACAGGACAGGAATACAGCTACTCAGAACTGCTCGCTATCTCTCAAAGCTGCTAAACCAATGAGCCAAACTTCAGTGGAATAATTTTTGCCAGTGACCTTCAAATGCAGTCTCCTTTATGTCTGTAAGCAGCAGAAACAACCTGGTTCAAGTTCAAGGTACTGCTGATACTAAAGCAGAAAACCAATTACTGTGTTTGCAGTGTGTTCAGCTGTCACTCAGCTCCAAAGGGATTCTCCTGTGTTAGGATAAACAATAGAAACAGCTGCTGGGAAGTAATAAGACTAGGAAAATAAACAAGGGGGAAAGAAGCTTTCGCTGTTTTATTCTTTCCCTCCAATCCATCGAGCTTGGAAACCTGACAGTCTTGTGAATACTACCACTACTTCTGCTCACTGGTGGAGTTTGGTGTGTGGACCTGTGCTGCCCACATCCTGATGAGAAGCCCCAAATGACCAGCTCTTTTGGCCAGTTCCCACGACAGGGTGCCTCTAGGACAGCTTGAAACAGTTCACCTGCTAGTGAAGACAAGGTCACACTCCAAACAGAACCCCTTCCAGCAGAACAGCCAGCCTGCCACGCTCAGAATAAACAGATGTTCAATCCAGAACATAAATGCTGCATTAAATGAGGGCAGCAATGTAGGGAGGTTTTGTTTGTTTTAAACAAAAGCTAAGGATTTCAGTAAAACTTTCTCCATACTTTGTGCCAGCAATGAGAATGCTTTGCAGGATAGGAGCTGGGAAGGTCATACGGCAGAGCCGGATGGGATCAGCCACTGCAAGAGCCAGGCAGGAACACAGTCCTGCCGTTTCCAGTTGCACTGGTCCCGGAAACACTCCTCCCCTCCACAGCATTCAATGTGAACCAGGGCCTTCCATCTCCCAGCCTGTAGAGACAACTCTGCTGCTTCCTACCAGGTGGGACCCCATCCTGGGTCTGCAAATAACCACGAGGCAGCCAACCTTTCTTGAAGCCCATTTCACCATTACACAACATGATAATTAAGAGTCTGCAATGGCTCCAGGTAGGAACTCTAACCTCAAATAGCCACCATAGCCCTGAACATCCCTTCTTGAGTCATTAATAACATTCTATGATGGGGCAGCTACGAGGGTTTTACTTGCAGTCTTTGGATATGCTCTTCAAAGGTTTCTTTGCCTTGAGCTGATCTTCAGGCTTGAAACAGAGAGCCAAGGGGATGAATCATATTTTGAATCTGGAATTTTGTGGGAAATGAAAGATTCATCATAAGGTCAGAGCAGAATTTATGTATTTTCAAATCCAAAGTTCTTTAAATGTTTCACAAATGTTCTGTCCAGGCAACATGCACAGAATTGGCATCTGGGGGAATGGCCACAGGAACAACAACCGTCCCAGAGGAACATCAATCTTTAGCTCTGATTTGACAGAAACATCACAGAACTCTTTTCTCAGCATGCAGCAAAAAGACAGATATGTCCTTGGTAGCACAGATGGACACGTTTAGCTGAGCACCACAAGAACTGAAATGAAACCTCCAACTATAATGCTTCAAATGCACTGTAATGCTCCAAGGGGCACCCCAGCTCCTGGACACACCCTGCTGGAGGCTGAGGATGGATTTGGGATGCACAATGGCACACCAGCTCATTCCTGTGGCCACACCAGCACAGAGCTGCCCAGGGAACCAAAATAGGTGCTTCAAACTCCCATGGGCTTCCGAGCCCATTCCCAGCAGGGTTGCTAAGGCTGTGCCCTGAGGCAGGACCACAGGGCTGGCAGTAAGATGAAGCAGTATTGCTGCGGGCAGCTGGCCACAGACCACATCCACTGCAGATAATATGTTATTTGGCCATTTACTGCAGGTCAGACAAGAAAAGGCAGCAGAGAAACACAATCAGAGAGACCAAATCCAGATCCCCTAAGAGGGTCAACACAGCATCACATATTAATTAGGCTCTTCTTCACAGACAGTGATTAAAGAAACCTGTGAGAAGTGCACAGGCTACAGCTTCAATCTGTGTGCCTATGATTCTTCAAAAAATAACAATCTGATCACAGTTTCTCTTCATGCTTCACCTCCAAATTAGCATCAGTTTCACTCTGCGTCATTACATTATTCAGCAGCTTGTTCCAGGAAAAGTGTTTTTACCACTGCCTGCACAACCTAGGGGAATTTCAGCAGTGGGACTAGCTCCATGTTCAGCTGCAGAGTGTTCCTAGCTGGGGCTCCTGGTACAGAGCAGAGCAACTTACTGCTTTTAGATGTGCTGCCCCTGCTTCCTTTGCTTTCATGAGGAGCACTATAAACAGAGTAGACCTTGGATAGAGAAGACCATTCTGATATCAGTTGGTTTAAAAAAAAATCTCTACAAGTATCATCTTTCAATTAATCCCACCACAAAATTCTCCTTGGTGACATACGCTTCTGTTTCCTGCTTGAGACAACCCTCAGGCTTTTTTTCCTGAATGATGCAGGTGAGAGGATATGGGTAAACAAAAGCATAAGTGAATGTCATGATCATAAATGGTGATACTTTTTTTTTTAATGGTAATACTTATTTTTAAGAACCTGGCATGATGGGACTGTAATGTAAACCCTGGGCCCTGCTTCATCAGCGTACA